AAAAAAAAAAAAAAAAAAAAAAAAAAATAATAATGTTCACGTAATAAGTATATTCAAAATCGAGATTATTAGGTATCTTGTCCGATATTAAAAAAAATTTAATATATCCAAATTTAGTTATCTTTCTTCATCATAATCAAAGATCGTCGTCATTATGACGTAATGTGATCTATTTCGTACTAGAAACGGAAAAAAGAAATTATAAAATGAGGTTTTGTTTTTTTAGTCTTTAATTAAATACCATGATGGTGCTAGTCTAAATTCTAGAAATGTTAAATAAGCTAACTGTTAAATTTTTTAAGAACCGTCAGTTTTAAAATATTTTTTAATTAGCGCTAGGAATTTATAAATACAAAAAAAAGTATAATACTAACCTACTACTGTAAAAGAAAAAATTTGCATCTAAATCTAGATCAACATATATATCTAATCATATGAGTAATACAGATTGAGATGATCAATCTGACGAACTTAAGAAATTAGCGAAGAGAAGGGAAGTCATTTCGAAAGTAGATAATAATTAATAAAGTAGTAAAAAAAGTAATAAATGATTTAATAAAAAAGACAATAGATGCTGAAATCATCTGCCACTATTGCTGTTACTATATAATAGTATTGCCACACGAACAATATGTCGTGGAGGATATAAAAATAATGTAAATAATAAATAGAAAATAATATTCTGAATGATATTCGAGAACATTCAGAAGAAACAGACGTGAATCATTAAAACTTACAGTCACATTAATAGTTTTTCCGAAACCCTGTAAAAAAAGTCGATCCGTTTTTTATATTCCATCTTTTTTCCGTAGAAGGCTTCATATTCCTGGAATTAATATAACCTTATATCATGGAATTTATCAAATTATTTACATTTTCCGTGAATGAATCCGTGAAAGGCTCATTTATACATTTTACGGAGTTTTTACAGAAATAACGGATAAAATTTTTTATAGGGAAAACATCATTTCTTAAAAAGTCGAACAACTGACGTCGAAAGTTTAAGAATATTAAGAGAAAGTAGCTTCCGTCGTTCTTTCTTCAAAAAATAAAACCTAAATCATAAAATAAATCATTAAAATAGGAGTTTAATATGGTAAACTACTTCGAGAAATCAAGGGGCAAAAAAAAAAAAAATTTTTTTTTATATACATGTAATATAAAAAATTCTTAGAATCAATCATAAGCGGTTATTATTTAACATTTCAGGTACACATCATGTAATATTTTAGTAATTATTAAATTATTAAACAAGAAAATACAAGTATTTTAAGTATTTTATAAAAATTTTGGGTGGAGTTTTCTAATTTGGATATATTATTTGTTTGTTTCTTTCATTTATTTCTATTTTCGTATTTAAAAGGGTCTCAAAAAAGAACCAATCATATTAAAATATAAAGAGAATGATTATTTATTTTCAAATAATTCATGATATTCATGTGAGAGCTGTAACGGAACGTTTTCCAATTTAATTTTATTATTAATTTTTATTCTTAAAAAAATTTTTTTTTTATAAATCGTATCTTAGCTCATGGATGTTTTTGTTTTTCTTAAAAGAGGGATGTAATTTTCCTTAGTCTCCTGCTTCTTTCTTTATATTTATATTGTTTTCTAATTTCTACCGTGAATCATAAAATCAAGTCGAAACGTGTCAACTTAAATATATAGGAGATTGTCATATGCAAAATAATTATTTGTCTTGGTACTTGTCCCTTAGCAGGAAAAATCCAGCAAAAAATTGATATCTACCGGGGGATAACTAGAATTAAATGTTAAAACTTGATTGACGGGACGGTGAGGCTTTGTCAAGAAGCTTGTCGTAAAATAACTGGATTGTAACGCAAGTTTCAACAAACCTGTTTAAATAATCGTGGTTCGTGGATAATAAAAAAATAAGTTCAACAATTCGATCTTTAGAATTTACAAAATAATTCAATGGTGTTTTTTTTTATTAGCAAAACAATAATAAATATATAAATAACAGTTATAAATTATTGTTTTCGATGATCAACATTTTGTTTTTCACCAATGACATTTCAACTCCCAAAATATCGGACGTATGGTATATTATCATACTTTATTTAACATGGAGTTTGTTTATCTCATTATAATCTATTATTAGAAATTAATTCCAATAATACTATCCTTAGAATACTAGTAATTTTGTTGATATAATGAAATTTTACGACGAATATTGCAATATTGCTGTAAATATTGTACGCAGATAAACTATTGACATTCAATATCGTACGAATGATTAGCTATTTATGAATATATTAGTCAAACAAAATCAGCATGATCCATCCTAAGGCAAGTGAGGATAACATAAACGTGTCTATCAATTAGCAACGTCATAAGGACGTGCAGTTTCCATGATTATTGTGAATTTGATAACGTCCGGAGTTATCAATCGCTAAGTGTTATAAGTTTCAATCTATTTTGGAAATAAAAGAAAGAAATCCAATCGCGACCTGCATAATTAGAACAATTAGACAATTTAAGATTATTCAAAGCGTATCATGTGACTTTACTATTTCACGGCGGTTTTTATTTTAATAATTGTTGAGCCTCATTAAGAATGATCACCTATACCTAATTTATCCTTATTTTTTTATTCATAGAACCTTAATTTATAAATTTTACTTTCAAATAGTGGCGTATTTTTGAGTCGATCCTTCCAAATTTCATTGTTAAAAATTCCCTTCTCTCTTACTAAATTTCATTATTAAAAAGAGCACTTTAAAGGTTCCCATATTGAAAATGTAAAACAAGTATATAAAAGAAGCCAAAGGAGAAGCCAATGCTGCTTCCGATAAAAAATTTTTTTTATAACTATAATCTAATTTATAATTTTTTACTAAACGATCGTAACGAAAAGTGACCGTCGCTCGAAAAAATACAACTCATTAATGTATGATAACATAAAATTCTGTGGTATATATATTACATAATCCTTTCGATTAGTTTAACTGATATTCAATATAAGAAGGGAATCGCTTAAAGAAAAGGAAAGGCAAATAAATATAAAAATTTCTTTTGCTTCTTTTCATCAAAAAAAAAAAAATTAAAATAAAAGTTTGCAAATAGGAAATTTCATAAAAAATACCTAAAAAAAAGATATATAAATATGTGGAATCGTCTACATCGGCCGAAAAATTAAGTATGGATCATTTTTCATCGTCCATTAAATTATTTTCGATTGAATTGAATTATTCAAAAATAAAAACTAAGATAAATTAATAAATTTATTGAAATATTCTATTATTAGACATATACGACGTAATTAATAATGGCAAGTATTATTATTAACCATTAAACCTCCCTTCGTTCGAATGAAAGAGAAGCATGTACAAAGAAATTCTCCGAGTTGAAATTACCCGAGTTAGTGTTGTCAGTGTTACAAAAAATATGATAGGCAATCATTAACTTATTAAATTATTAAATCAAAATTTTGTATAAATAAAATATGGAGACCCAAAAAAAAAAAAAAAACGTAAAAAAATTTTCACAAAATTTTTTAGAAGTATTTTTTTTTTTTTTCCCAACTCAAGAGCTTTAAATAAAAAATCTACGTATCTTTGTGCATCCTTTCCAAATCTGGTAGATGTTGCATATTACCATAAAAAATTTTAAACACTATCCTAAAATATAATTTCTGTGCAAACTATGCAACCGCTATATGAACTGAACATCGAATTCTTTAAATTTGTACACACTCCTTTACCGCTTATCTTAACAAATCGACAATGGTATACTATATCAAAAGACCCTCACGCGCGCGCTGAATGGCTTATCAATAAATACGGTCGCTCACACGCACTTTTCCATGCGGTGAGACTTGGAAATAGCTTCATAACGCCGGAGGTGATTCAGGCTTTACTGTCAAAAAAAGCGATTTTGTCTCGTTATTTCATTCAACGTCTATTAATGCATTTCGGCAATTATGACGAAAAACTCATTGAACTTAAAATAGAACATAACGTGAATCAGGTTGATTTCGATAGGATTCGAGCTTTTCAAAAGAAATTGCAATCTCCATGGGCCAGTAACCTGCCTTTACCAATTTTTACTAAGCTAATTACTGAAGGATATAGTATTTTAAATGATCAAGAACTTGCAACTAAAGGAAACGACATGGAGCTATTTCACTTCTTATCCGCAGGCCCTCTCGTTATTAATTTTGCTCCTCAAAAATTACTTCAAAATATCAATGAAATAAAAGATTTAATTATCAATAAAAAGTTTATTCCTTTCCCTCCCCGTCCAAAACCCACTTATGAAGATACAGTGCATTATATTCAATTAATGCAAGCAAGGGCACATGAGGAGTATCCGCCAAAAGATGGTTACGAAAATAGTCGTCAACTAAACGTGGTAGCCAGAGCAATATTGATTCATCCGGATTTAGTACTTATGTGGAAAGAAATCGGGTATCATGAAATTTGTAACGATGTTAACGAACTCGTTATGCAAGGCGCTCTTTTAATTTTATTCCCTCCAACACCACCAAGCGACTGGGAGTGTCCCGGTGTACGTGCTATCGTTACTCGTTTAAATCAGCTCATCGATCTTGGATTTAAATTGACTGATACTGTCATGGAGGAGGCATTTCATTTATTTGAACATAGATTAAGTGAAATTGGTGATATTTTGATGAGCGCATTTCAAGTAATTCGTAAAGAGTCCAAATCAGCGATTTCTACTGCCTGTCTTATTAAAGCTATTAAGCCCGAGAGAAGTCATAAGAAAACTAATTTATTGGAATTCTTAGTCGATAGAATCGATCAACCTGAAGAAGCTTTAGAGACTGCTTTGAATTTTTACAACGTCGGTTTCAAGTTAGATGTTAACGATGTTGACTCAATTAAAACTACCAAGATTAGATCTTTATCGGTTCATTCAAACTTATATTATTGGATTCTCAAGACTTATGGATCAGAATCTAGAAATACTCAAAAATGTTTTGAAGATATTATCGAATCCAGAATTTGGGTGGATCTAAAATTACAAGAATCTCCAGAGCGGGACGTGCCAGAACATCTTACATCATGTGCTTTTAATTCTATCTGCTCTATCTACCTAGAATTCTGTAATGAAAAGGTTCCATTTAAAAGAAGCTATTTGCCATATTTGCAGTTGGCTGACAATGATGAAATCATTAGGCCACTTTTCGGAATTAGCTTACCAAAATTGTTTGGATTGGACCCCAATATTGGATTGCCCTTGGAGATTACTTATGGTTATAATAGGCCAGAAGTTAGATTGGTTATTAACAATAAGAGGAAATTTAATGATATGAATGACTTGGATAATCAACAAAAAAACGAAGCAAAAGAATGGTTCAGATTGCTTAAGAAATTGCATTATCTTACAGATCCTAATATCACTCAAAATTTCAAAAATAGTCTTGGAGAATTCTGGGAGAGAATTACTACTTCACAAGATCCGGAAATCCAATCTTTAATTAATAGTGAAAATGACGAAAATAACGTAAATAATAAAGTTTATGTTTCCGAGCAATCATCAAAACGAATTAAACAGTGATGTTTAAATTGAATCAATGATATTATTATAACCCATTTTGAAATCATACGTTCTTTTTAAAAAATTTTAAATTTCAAAAACGTCCGTTCGTTTTGTTATTTATTTTCTTTTTTTTTAAAAAAAAGGGTTGATGGTAAGTTTATGAATTAAATTATTATAATAATTAATTTTTAATTCCATAATTAACAAATATTTTTATTTAATGATTTTATAAAGATATAACATATTATAATAGGTAATATATACGTTAATTAATTTAATCTTATCTAAAATTATATATAATAATAACAATCACTAATATAATTAAAATTAATAAAATTATATATGTAATATAACTTGAATCAACAATTTTTTTAATGTTTTAAAGAAATCAACTTAGGTATGTAAAAAAAAAGTATTATTATTACGTATGATTAATTTATTATTTTTATATAAACTAATTAGTACCACTTTTTAGTAGATATTATGCCATGTCACAAAAATATATATATGATTTAACCGTAAAATAATCTCCTCACAATACAACAATAACAATTAAGATTTGCTCAATAAGAATTAATAATATACAATGAATTATGGATTTTTTACTGTCGCCATTTTTTTCCAGTATGCGGTTTAATTCTTTATTATCGGCAAACCATACCCTCCTTTATATGACGAATGAGTTGATTTCGTTCGCTTATATTAACCTCATTTATTTTATTATAAGTAAATTATCCCTGAGTCTATTTTAAATTAAATTCACCCCTTTTTTTTTGTTTATTTAGAATTTTTTTATTCCTCCCTATCAATATTTATTTCTCAAATTATATTTCCGGGCAAAAAATCTGAATACTTATGGCGAAATTATATAGATCGAATAAAGTTCTTGATTATTCTTACAAATAACGAATTGGCAATTTTAATATTAGTAATAATTTTATTAATTTTATTGGCAAAAATTATAATATTTTTATCTAATAATTTTATCTGAATGTAGTAAGTTGAACCAAAAAAAAAAAAAAATTCATTATATTATTTTAATACATTTTAAAACATCCTAATTTTAGTTAAATAAGTTGAATAATCCAACAGAAANATTTAAATAAAAACAAAAATATTTAAAAAAAAAAAAAATAATATGATTATAATATGAAATGAAAATTTTTAGATTAATTCTAATATAACCAGAAAAAATTTTTCAGAATGATTTTAATTCTGACCAAAATATTTTAACTCTGACTGGAATTAAGAGGAATCATTTACTTTTTAACTAAAATATAAATCACTTTTTTTAGATTATAAGTCAGATTAACCAGTCATAATTTTTAACTAATTCCAACTTCTAGTCAAAATAATATCACTAATCTAAAAAAAATTCAATATATATATATACAACTGTTACAATTGATAATTACATTCTATACTTTTGTTTTCTCTAAACAGGAAAGGATATTTAAAAATATATGATAGAATTTTTGTATGTAAGATTTAAAGATCTGTTCAAGAGAAGTGCCTAAGTGAATAATGATAAGTTTAAACCCTGTCTCTTATACACATCTAGATGTGTATAAGAGACAGGTGCCTAAGTGAATAATGATAAGTTTAAACCAGTTCAGAAGAAGTGCTCAAGTGAATAATGATAAGTTTAAGCCAATAATTTTTATATAGTCAAATCATTTTGTCCCATTAATTTGCAAATTTAAGTCTGTTCAGGAGAAGTACCCATGTGAATAATGATAAATTTAAGCCAATAATTTTTATATAGTCAAATCATTTAGTCCCATTAATTTGCAAATTTAAGTCTGTTTAGGAGAAGTATCCAAGTGAATAATGATAAATTTAAGCCCAATGATTTTTATAATAGTCAAATCATTTTGTCCCATTAATTTGCAAATTTAAGTCTGTTCAAGAAAAGTATCCAAGTGAATAATGATAAGTTTAAGCCAATAATTTTTATAATGGTCAAATCATTTAGACCCATTAATTTGTAAATTGTTGATTTTTTAGGTTCATTAATAAACTGACAAACTTTATATTTGTTATTAATAATCTGTCAAATTTTATTATATTGGTTATATAAGGAATTCATTTATTAATTGACTTAAATTAATCACCTTAGTACTATACTAAAATGTTAACAGTATACCTCGGATTTAATACTTATTTATTTTAATACTTATTTATTTTAATACTTATTTTATTATATTTTAGTACTTATTTATTTTAAATACTTCTCATATAATCTATAAGAATAGTATGTATCTTAATAATTCTGATACAACGAAACAATTTAAAGAATTTCCTAATAATCTATATTTCTGGATAATGCTTATATTTTCGGGAAAATCTAAATATGGTCCATTGTAGTTACTTTTCAACAAATTATTACATGACCTTTGAACCATTCTTCCTTGTGTAATAGAACTTTGGAATTTAAGAGGAAATGTATGTAATCTTGCCACTTCTTCAGGCGTAAAAAACCTCAACTTAAGATTCAATAACGAAGATGGATTCTCAAAATTATAATTTGTAAACTATATATAAAAAAAGATTAGAGATAAAAGGTAAAATTAATACTTAATAAGCATCAATATTCTTTCAATTAAAAAAGAAAAATAGTTTACTTACTTCCAAGTTTTTTGTTTGAATTAAACTTCCACTAGAATATATGTGATGACTACCATATGACTATTAATATAAAAAGAATCATTATTTAACATTTTATTATTATTATAAGAAAATAACATTTAATTATATTCTTACTTTAGTAAAACAAGAACATTTATGATCTGTTGGAAGAACAATATCTAATATATATATAATTATAACAATTAGTAAAAAGAAAAACATATATATACATATATTTATTTTTTACTTACCAAATTTAAAATTGTAACTTTTTAAAATATATTTTTCCGGAACAAAATAATTTTTAATCTCTTCTTCATTTAATTCCTCTAAATATGTACTCAATGAAGGAATATTAAATACATCCTCTTCAGAAGATTCCAAATGATTTTGTTCTTGATGATAATCTTTCTTTAACATAATTGGTAATGGCCAAGTTTTGTTAATTTCTACATTTTTCAAATATTCATCAGGTAAAATTACATCATTTAATTCACAAGTATTTGTTCTTTTCCTTGCCATTAAATAATATCTTAATCTATCATTAGGAATTCCAAATTGTAAGGGTGTTAATAAACATTCTGTTATTTCATAATTTGTTAAGCAAAGTTGATTGATTAATTTTTCTCGACATTTTGATTTCTAAATAAAAATAATTTTTATTGATGAATTGCTTAATCGTTTAATATTAAAAAAAAAAGGAAATATAACTAACCTCAAAATTTAAAACATTTTCAAGAAAGATATAATTAGGAGAATCTGATAATTTTGGCAAAATATCTATTAAATGAAGAAGCCCCTTTGCTCTCTGGTCTTTTTCATCCAAAGATTTTCCTCCTCTTGTATATGGTTGACAAGGAGGACTCATTAACCAGCAATTAGCCTTGTATTTCTCTATATCTTCAACAGTTAAAGAATCAATTGCTTTCTTTAAAAGTAATTTTCATATAAAAATTCATTGTTAGATTAAAAATGAAGTGAAGTGATATTATGTTATTAAAAGTTAAGTTCAAGAAAAAAAAAATACCGTAATAGGATCTTTGCCAAAATTATGTTTATAAACAGAATTTGCCACGAGATTAATATCAAAACTTGCAAGAACTTTCCCTCCAGTTTCAGATAGAATAAAAGCGTAATGCTAAATTTTTTAAAAAAAGTAAGCTTTTTTTATAGAAACCCTCTTTAGGATATGAAATAAATAATTTACCAATCCACCTATTCCAGAAAAAAATTCGAGACATCTAATGTCTTTACTAGATGATTGTTGAAAACAATTCATCGTATCTTATAATTATTAAAAAAAGAGAGCCGTAATCAGATCACATGATATTAGACAGCATTTCACATTTGGTCATTTGTTTAAAGGGCGTAAGCTGTATTAGGTAAGACCCCGGGAAAGGCAACTAACTTCCATGATAGTTTATACCAGAGTAACTTCCGTTTTTTGTTTTTATTATAAAAATTATAAAAATAAAAAAAAATATGCAGAAACTCATTTTTTTTAAAAGAAATTTTCACTTTACCATGTGAAAAAATGTGCAAAAAAATTCATTCGAAAAAAAATCTATTGATTTGTGTAAAGCCGTTATTGATAATGAATATATCAAAATATCTATTTTTTTAAAAAAACTTGTAATTACCCAGATTTTTTTTTATTAACTTTGATAAAAGTAGTTATAGAAGCACATTTGTAATTCCAATTTTTTTTTTTTTCAAACCCATGTATATTAAAAGGAGACCGATATTATAATTTAACGACAAATTATATTTGCGAACGTTTAAGATGTACAGAATATTTTTGATTTCGTCAAAAATTACGTGATTAGTGCATCGTCCATTTGTAAGAAATTTCGAAATAGAAGAGAGAAAAGAAATAATATACTTAATATACTTAATATACTGTACAATGACGTATATTCGAAAAACGCTTTCACGCGTAAACTATGATAATTATAGTAATAAATATGACAATGATATTGCAAATGGGCTAAAATAATGTGATCTATATTTGATTTTTTTTTTTATAATTTTTACAATGAAAAAAATGTCAGATGTTAGTCAAAAACGTATCGGAAAATCCTTAAATAAATCTTATTTAAATTTCCAAAAAAAAAAAAAAATTGATTATATAATCTTGATTACATAATGTCATTGGTTGTATAATGAATTTTATTATCACAAATAAAGTTTAAAAAGGAAAAAAAATTGTGGGGGGAAAAAAAAAGAAAAAAAAAGGAAAAATTATAATGACTTCCCTCCGTTCCAATCTATCCATTCGGATAGAAATAATAAACTACACCGATTATAGAGATTGACTACATGCATAATATTCATAAATACAAGAACGAAGCTTTCCAAAAATGAGTTATGAAACGAATGAATAGGAAAGGACCAAAGTCATGTATTTTTAAAAATATTAATATCACTTTCAAAAGATTACTTTTCTAGAATTGATAATTATAAAATTAATAATACTATAAAAATTTCGTGTAAATGATTTCTAATTTAATCCTAATTAATAATTATCATAAGTAATCGGCAAAAAAAATGGATATGTAAAAAGTATAGATTATCCATTTCTTTATTATTTATGAATGTTTTAGAAAAAAAATTGTTATCGTTATAATCGTTATACATACAGTAAGTACAAACGCAACGAGCGTTACGAGCATTAATGGAATAAGTTTTAGCCGATCATTAGCATTTCTTAAAAGGGTAATTTAAATAATGGTAGAATAGTATCTCATGACCATTTTGGCGAAAAAAAATTTTTAAAAATACGTTTATAAAAAAAAAATTTTTTATTAAAGAAAAATAAAATTAATGAATTACATTTTTACATACAACTTAAAGGATAATTTTACTAAGGCCGCAGTCATGTCTCAAAAATTCATGTGACATAGATGTGATAATGTGACGTAAGAGAGTCTTGACCATGGGACAATTGAGTAACTACGCTAATACGCTAAGCAGCCTATTAGATTGTACCATTAACCTGTGCGACGGGTCTAACTTTACCCGCATAATTTTTTTACAATATGGTGCCATCAGGATTCGGGAGTGTCAAGTCCGATATTTGTTCGATCATTGCAATCATTGCATATATGTTATGGTGCTTGAATAATTTCACGTGATGATTTATATAAGTCCAACAATCCCCAATTTGTTACATAAATTAATAGCAAGTAAAAGAACGTTTAAATAATCATGCACAAATATTTTTTTTTGTGACAAACTATAATTGCTAATTTAGTTAGTGTATCGATCTTCCTTTGTTAGCCTTCTTATTTTGGTTAAACTATTATGACAACAAAAAAAAAAAACGTTCATTTAATTTTAACATGTATATTTTTTTTTTTTTTTTTTTTTTTTTNATACTAATATAATGCAGGCCAAAATTTATAAACTGGCCTAAATTAAGAATTAATATAAAGATATTTTTGTTTAAATAACTGAATGAGAATTATTTTTTTTTTTTTTTATTTTTTTTTTGAAACAGAATTTATTTACTGTAAATGAACAATTTTCAGTATCGGATCAAAAAAATTGCTCTTTTTTATTCTTTATTATTTCGTAAAATGCATAATGTACATCATGATATAATAAATGAATACCGAAATAGAATCTCGCCGACAATGGAATAAAATTTTGACCTCGAAAAATTAAACGATGAAATTGATTTATTTATATTATAATTGTCATGATTTCTAATCAAAAGAATCCATTAATTCACTAAAAAATATATCAATAAATAATCTTTTATGTTTGTTTTTATTAGAAAAATATCATTATGTAAAATCAGAGATATTGATAACAGAATCAATAATATCTAAAAAAAAATATTTTTGGCAAACTATATCAAAAAACAAAAATGTGCCTTATTTATACTTTAATGTTTATTTTTTAGTCTTTTAAGATCATCTTATCAGATATTTTCTAGTTAATTTATTGATCTGGATTAGATTAATTCGCGAAAATGGGGTTCTCCGTCCCGATATTTTCCGTTATGATAAAATAATGATATAAAATTATAATGATAAAGTACATAAGTACACAATCTAGAAATATCTATTATAAATTTTTTTTTTTTATCGGATTTTCGTTCTTTGTAAAACTACGTAATATTAAAAGAATATTAATAAATAAAAAAAAAATCCTATAGGAAAAAATTTTTTTTTGCCTCCGTCAAAAAAAATACTTAATTTGTTTGGTATGTAACTTTAATGTGATACCCCTGTTGAGCACAACTCCAAAACCTTTCAAAAATTCCAAAAGTGTTTAACGCAAAAGTCAATAAAGACAATAGAAAAATTCATAGCATTCATACCTAAAAATATCTCCTTTCAAAACATTCCAAATTTCGCAATATCATAAGGCCAGATCCGGATTGCACACCGTCTTGTGATGATTTTTACAAAGAAGGTTATGGCTTTTTTTTAGATTTTAATAATTAATATATTTATGGTTATTAAGAATTCTCTTTTGGAATTTTTTGTTTTGCATTACATAAATCCAATTTCTTTTTTCTGTCCAACAATTATGCGCCACTTTAACCGTTTAGCGCGTAAAGTCGCCACAGACAATATTACAATATGTATGCTATTACTAACGCCCTATCTTAATTTTTTTTTTTGAAAACTAATGTGAACCATTTTATATAGTAAATTTACTGAATAATTGGTTTTTTGGTAATATTTTTCTAAATAAATATAATTAATTTACGAATTTTAAAATACAATTTTTCAAACGAATAATATGATCGTCAGTCAATAGAAACCAATAAAGTTTGATTGATTATTTAATTGAATTCAATCGATCCTTTTTTATAAAAGTGTAAATGAAAACATATTCAAGTGATTTTAATTCTTAACATGGACATATTACTTAAAACATTCTTGTGCAAGGAATTTAAAATTCATTCCCCGTGATCAAAATTTTTTTTATATCAACTCGAGCCTCTTCGCATTTCTTCAGACTGGCCGGCACTATGAAGCCTTATTTTAAGAAAAAGGAAAGATCTACAAACTTTTTCAGCTGATATATTTTGCCTTGAGATCATATAAATACAAATTTAATAATTTAATTCATTTTAAATCATGTAAAATGTTTAGGAGATTTATTATAATAAATTTAATTCAGTTACATTTTATTTCGAATAATACTTTTATATTAAATTTAATTAATAGTCCAAAATTACAGATTTACAGATTGCTAGAAATTTTCTTTACTTTCGTTTTATTATTTTGTTGACTGATCTTCTTAAACCTTCAACTTTTGTATGGATGAAAGTATTATACTGTATGTTATCAATGTTATTATACGACATTTAATACGCGTCAGATGTCGATTTGTTACAATTTAACCGATAGTAAACTTGTGCATCATAATGGTTCGCGTATATCAAAAATTTTTAAATAAATTTAAATTTATATATTTAATATAGTGTTTGTTTCAAATTTTTATCCATAATTAAGAATTAAAACTTTAGCAAATCCTATTCAATTCTACGTAGGTTCGGATCATGGTTCCGGAAATTTATGGCGCAGTAACATACTAAAGACCAGCTGATCAAAAGAACCGTATGTATTGTTCCTACTTTTCGCCTTATTACTTCTTACAATTCATATTTTATTATTATTATAATAATTATTATTATTATTTTAAATATCTTTTTTATTTAAGAAATTTGTTACATTTGAGTATAATTAAGTATAATTAAATAAATAAAATACTAATCAATACTTTTAAAGACTGTCTCACTGCCGGTCCATGTTAGTTTATCGCATTTAATCAGTACCGTAAAAGGACTCGGTCCTACGTGGTCCGGTCTTTTTGTATGTACTGTAGTCCGGTGAGAACCGGTTTGTGATCTTTTGACCATCTTTACATATTTGGAAAAAATCACTTTCTTTAAATCTGGCGCAAATCATCACCTGAGGACTGAGGCACAACATAATTTTGCCGTATCTTTCCGATTTTAAGCACCACTTTTTTTATTTTTTAATGGAAAAATCACATTAAAATCGTGCTTAAATTCATATATCAGATATTTTTTTTTTTGTGCTTAAATCGAGTGGTGCTTAAAATCGGAAGGATAGGACTAAATTTGGGTTAATATGAATCATATGAATCATTCAACGATTGTTATGGTATTTTGAGAAACGTCGTACAAAAATTTAGAATATAATAAGTAAGAAACTCACATTTGTCTCTCTCTTTTTTTTTTTTTTTTATCTACGACCTTAAAATAAATGTTAAATAATTTGTTATTTTTGGGGATGTATCTTATGGCATGGTGCTAGGATCTTTGTCACACAAAGTCACGATAGCTACAATACAAGTACGCAAAGTTAGTATAGTTCCACCCACTCGCACAGTTAAATTGTAAGGTAAAATCTTCCATATGCGACCTGCTTGCCGGTTAATACGCTTTTCTTGAATAATTAAGATCTTTAGACAACTTGTAAGATATGAGCTCCCTCTCTCAGAAGACTAAGAGGCTCTCAGAGTCCTTAAGGAGAGGGGGATTAGACTTGGTAAGTCTAAGGGAACAATTCAGCTCCCGGTATTTTCATGGTTACCCCTCAAGTCTCTATCGTTGATTTTTCGAAATTAAGCACATACATTAAACTTGAGCCATACATGGATTTTTCATACACAAAAAATTTCATGGCGATTTATCATGAAGTGCTTTCTAAAGGATGTGAGTTATTTTCTATTTAGCCATAAATATGGATGTGCTTAATTTCGGTATTTTACTTATACAATCTTATATTTAAAAAGGATATACTTAAAAATTTTTTCCTTTGGGAAAATTAAGTATCCTGTACAGTACATAATTTGCCAAATACTTTTTATTTCGAACATTTATATCTATAAATTTTTAACCAAAATTTTTTCAAAGGTTTAAATTCTTTTAAAAAAGATTTATTGATATTATGCTTCAAAATCATGTTTTTGAATCTTTCACTGTTATGATTTAAGAGCGTTTTTGGGATTAATATCCATTTTCCTGAAAATACGTGCTACATTATACTAATATCTGTACATATATAATTTACCATTTTTGATTTAAGTTATTTATAATTTATTATTTAAAAAAGTCAATCATTATTAGAGGGATTTAAATTAATGTTTAAATTCTAAAAATTCTAACTGAATTATTACAATGTTAGCATAATAAGTGTATCTGTGTAATTAACTGTCCACATTTTTTTTTTTTGCATTTTGCATTTATTAGAGACTCAAGGGATTAACAAATTTGAAATTAAATATATGTAAATAATATGATCTCGAATCTGCATATTATTTGTTAAATATAATAATCTAGTTTATACTGTACATTGTATTTAATAAGTAATTTCTCACTTCACATTTTTTTTTCTTTTTTTTTCGAAAAAGAAGAGAGGAATATAAATTCTATTTCTCTTGTGAATAAAATCTTTTTTGTTTAGAAAACTTGTCTTTATACTTGATTATGAATATCTCGAGCCATATGGATGATAAAGGAATCCTCCGATGATGACGGGGAATGAGCATTCCAGTAGATTTTGAGAGGTGGAACTAATCCACCTTCTTTTTTGCCTTCTTAGTCTCTCTCGTATTTTTTTCAACTAAGCATTTGAATCAAATAAAATAATTGATAGTTGTTTGCCATTTTAGTTGAAAATTATCCAAGAGAAGAATAATTTTTAAATACTAATATTAAAATTTAATGGTACTAATATATGCTAACACTGCAGTGATATTCCAATGTCTTTTACCCAAACCTTTTAATCCTCTCAATTCCAGTCCTTTCCAATATTCTAAGAAATTTTTATCCATATTATATTATATATGTGTGTGCTGTCACTGCTGTTATAATTCCATTGGGAGTTGAAAGATTTGGAATTGAAAGAATTGAAAGTTTTCAATAGCCTCTAATGAGAGTCTAATCTTAAAAAGGGTTTCTTTGTCAGTATTATAAATAAATATAGTATTCATATATCTTCCGGGTTGTCAGTAATTGAAAATCACTATACATAATCATGAAATAATTCATTAAATTAATATATTATCTTACAATTTTTTTCATAATCAAATAATTAAAAAAAACTTCGTTTTATTACTTACAAATATATTCCCCATTTTCAAAGAAATCTATTAAAATCTACTTTAAAAATAAAAAGTAAATTTCAATTGTTTTTTCTTGAAATTTCTTTCTTTTTTTTTATTATACTTCTTGTAGATAACACCCAGAAACATTTCTTCTTGAATTCAGTTATTTACTTCTAACTATACAAAAACTTAATACCACTTTTGGACTTGAAATTTTAAAAAGTATTTATTTTTATTAACCTCATAATTTGATAGGCATTAAACCATTAGTTAATGTATTTATTAAGTAATATATGTTAAAATATATATATATATATATAATTAATTATTATAAAATTATATTTCTAAGAAAAATTATGAATATATCAAATAATAGTAAAAAATTTTTTTTCTAATCCTAATTTATAATTACAAATTATTAATCATTTCATTATAAGAATCATTAGAAAAATAAGGTCCCTTTCCTAAAACATTAAAGGCTTCTTTATAAGCTTCTATAACAATTCTTTTTTCTTCTTTTAGTTTATCGATTACTTGTTTGTAACTCCAAGCTCTTAATTCTTGGAATTGATCATTCTTATGTAACCTTGAACCATTTGGTCTATTATATAAAATATTACCATATCCCATTAATGTATGAACATTAGAATATGCATTTAAGGTTTCATTAATCAAACTATTAATTCTACTAGGTTGTCCCGAAGGTGATGTGATGTTTTGATATTCTCGTGGTTCATTATTACTATTTATTAATCCATACGAACTGGCCCTACTTAATGTAGATCTTTGTCTTAAAATAGATGATCTTATATTTCCATTTTCTTTTTCTAAACTTGCCCGTTGAAAACTTGCAGGAGGACCACCCCAACTCTTCCATCTAGTTCTTTTATATGGTTCCTTATTATTAGTATTATTTAGGTTTGAAGTGTTACTATTTAGTGAAGGCGATCTTGGAAAATTATCAATTGATAATTGATAATTTAAACTATTCACTCCAGTGGATGCATTCTGTAATTTTTGATGTATAAAAGTACGTAAATATAAATTAAGAGGCAATTTATAAAATAAAAGTAACTCTAAAAATGTCCACAAGACAAAATCAAGCGATGAAGAGGAAAATGATGATCGTGTATTATTTAAACCTTCATTTCCAGATGATGAAGAATAATGATTATTACGCAAAAATGATGTTCTGTCAACATTTACATCATTAGTTTCAGTATTTATATGTATACTTGTATTGCTAGCAGTAGGCGATCCACTTAAAGAGTACAATCCTGATTTGGCTTGTGATGTTCCAGCTGCTCCTAATACCTGCCTTATAAATTGATTTATATGAATCCACATTCCTTTTGTTTGTGTAATATATTTTTCAGCACGTACAAGTACAATCTTTAAAGCCGTAAAACTTATAATAAATGTAGCCGCAGCTTCCGTTGTTGAAGGGACAAATTTATTTGCAACATATTCTTCTTCATTATCACTATCATCATCAAGATTTTGCCTTGAATTGTTACCAAGAAGAGTAAAAGTTGTTTTTGATCTCATCATAGAATCTCTACTACATGCTTTTGTGATATATGCTAATAAATGAATCCAACAACTGATCGCCTTTGATTCACCAGAATCGATATTTGAAACCATTGGAGTAAAATATATTTCTTCAGGTGAATATTGATGACAAATTGGAATAACAATATATGCCATTAATTGATGTGAAGGTTGGTATTTATCTAATTCACTTAACATGTCTTGATCAGAATGTGTCATCAAACCAACAAATAATTTAACAATACTATTACATAGTTTAAGCTGAATAATTTCATCTTCCCAATCAGGTTTCAACGCAACAGATAAACCAAATGAAACAAATTTATCTTTGAGCGCAAAAGATATTGCTTGATCATTGACTGCGAACCTACATCTATCTGACGTGATTAAAACAAGACCTTCAATTAAGCCAGAAAAATCAATTGATTTATAATTTTGACGGAATGATGCTGACATTTGTCTTAAAAATGATAATATTGGTTTCTTTCCATCTTCAGATGTTGTATTGAAAAGTAAAGCATCTCTAATATAATCTTTAATGAAATTTGTCGAGACTTTTATTTTAAGAGCAGCATAATCTTTAAGCATTAATCTAATAATATTCGCAATCTTATAATGTGAATTATCAGATAATATTCCACCGTATTTTTTATAGGCCTGAATTAAAATCAGAAATTGTCTCTTTATTGTCATTTTATCGTTCTGTTTCCATTGTTTGCCAAATGCCTGAGCTTTCGTCTCTGAAAGAAATGGCTTATTATTTGAAGTACCAGCATTTTCCGTCGTTTCATTAATGTTTTCAGCATTTATTGTAGAATAAATTAGATGTTTAAAAGATTTTGAAAGTTTAAGAAATACTTCCGTTAACGCTGCCATTCCTTCATCTACTAATGATCTAACACTAGAAGACTCCTGCAAGAGATGCGGTATAAGATATTGTAATACTTGGACAAATTGCTCAGCTCGGAGTGAACTTGGATCGTAAGCAATAATAGTCAAGAATAATCTAACTAAATCTTCCAATGAAAATATCTTCTCATCTTGTGTTCCTAATAATCCTCCCATTGATTTTGATGCAACACTATTTGCTCGTCTCCTAAACGTATTGTTGAGTAACGGAGGTGGATCAAACAATAACGGATCAGTTATATTTAATTTATCAACTGCTTCGCCTATTCCTAATGAATCCGAATGTTTTACAGGAGAGCTTAAAGCTTTAAACAACTCGTAAAGAGATGAACATAACCATTCCCCAACTTCTGTTGATTTGGCTGAGCCTTTTAATATTATTGGAGTGAGACTTCCAAGAGTTTGAAAAATGAAAGATTCTCCATGAACTTGAAAGAATTTATACCATGCAAAAGTAATAGCAGATCTGATAGGAGGAATCTTTTCTGATTCACAAAAGACTTTAAACAACGCAGGAATAAAAATCGAATATCCTCGATTAGTATCAAATAGTCTACGGAATCTCGTGATAACTGTTAAATATAAAACCAAGGTTTGGCCAACGATTCCAAAATCATTTGCATGTTCCAGAAGGATATCATTAACACCACTCAAAAAAATCTTTAACTCGCTACGATCATTATAATTACTATTTAATCGTTTTAACATTGAAAGTAAAAAGTTCAACCATGACCTTGCTCGTAACGCAGAAATTAACTTAATGTCTTTTTCTCTCCTTGACAATATATCATTAAAACCATTATAACGTCTTTGTGCCTTTTCAATATCTGGAAAATATTTTTCTTCCTCATTTACATTCACTAGATTGTCAGTTAAATGAGTTGGGGCAAATGCGTGAATCATTTTTTTTACTGAATAAACCTCTTGTGGCCATGCTACAACATAATTCGTCATAAAATGTATATGTCCAACTCGAAGCATCGCTACTTGAAACATAATTAGTGGAACATCAAGTATATTGAATGTAACTTCATCATTAGTTAATTCCCTTGGAAACATTGAAGGAGGGGTTCCATCAGTAAACCAGAACTGCCCATTATTGCAAAGAATATGTTCAATCTTATTTTTCTTGAAATCTCTAACAAGTATGTTACTAACTGTCGGTACCATTTCAGCCATTGTAGGTATGATGTAAGTCATTAAACCTAAACCATTTTCTTTGTTATCTCTGGAATACCATTTTAATATTCCAGCAAGATGGTTAAATAACATATAAGTAAATCCGGGCGGGAAAACATGCTGCATCGAAATAAGGAAACGTATTCTCGTGAGTAACTTTTTCTGCGTTTCAAAATTTAACGTGCCCAAATCACTGAAAAAAATTCGCAGGAATAATAGAGGATCATCTCTAAGAAAGTAGATTATTATTTCTTTAGCGAGGTTATATACACCACAATGAATATCATCTAATAAATCTACAAGTCTTAAAGAGAAGAAACTTAAAATATGAACTGAAATAATCCTTCGCTTATTTGTATTTCCTTGCATATTTGATATAACCTCACTACGAATATTCCTCCTAATTTTATCACGAGCTGTTTGTATAGGTGTAGCCTCATCTCTTTGCTTAAGTACCTCTTCATCAAGATGGAAAGTAGATAAAAGTGATATTGGTGTCACGATACGCTTTGAACGATCCGATTCGGTTTCAGATTCATCTACCACCTCCCAACCAAGTTCCTGTATTCTCTGATCAACGTCATGATGAGAATTTTTACTTTTCGATTCTTTTGATGATTCGTACATCATTACATCTTGAGTACCTAGTTCAGTTGGTATATAAGGAATTGCAGGTGCCTGTACACGAAAAGGACGTTTTCGAGTCGAATCTGATACATAAGATTGTGATAGAAGTTGATTTCGGTGACCAAATAAGGATGATATTTTATAAATAGTTATAGCACGAACTAGGGCATTTGTACTATAGTAGTAAATAGTTAATTAGTAAAACTGAAATTAAGATACGCAGATATAAAACATTAAAAAAAATTTTACCTGTACAAATCCTTCATGATAAAATCCTTTACAGTTTCAGGTGATTTTTCGCCACAAAGTATAAACAGAAATGAAGCAGAAGCAAAGGGCTTATGCTTTTTGTCATTCAAAAATCTATTCCAAAGGTGCGGTGCTAGCCTAGTAAACTCTTCCTCTGCTATAGTGTTGAATACAGCAACCAGTAAAGATAAAAATGAAAATGCAGGATCGTCAGAAAAGGTATTAAATCTATGAAGACGTTGTTTAGGTAATTTAGATGATATCCTTCTTGGTGTATTGACAGCGGGACCCGACGATGGAACTACAGTCGAACTGCGTCGCAGATCATTATATGGAGTGATTGGTGTTTTTGGAGTATTTGGAGTTGAAGGAGTAACAGGTACTCTTGGTATTGCAGGCACTGGAACATCTAAAAATTCGTCCTAATTTATAAATAAAAATATTCAATAAAATTCATTTTTTCTAAAAATTAACATTAAATGGAAAAAAATAATAACCCTATCGGTATCCGAAGAATTCCAATCATCCAATGTTGCGTATACAACTCTAATTCTTTGAAATATGAATTCAACTTCATTAAGTTGATTATTATCTGCTTCTAACTCTGATTGCGCAGTGAATGGATTTTGATTTAAGCCAAACGACATGGAATCCCTATGAATTACTGGCGAAGAATGTACTGTCCAGTCAATTATTCGGGAAAGCCAACCTGGTCTAAAATAAGATATTCACGTATTATTAACGTTTAAAATGAAAAAAAAAAAATTTAAATTATATAATATACCGGTAAGTTGTTTTACAATATAATCTTATTTCAAAGAATAGATTACAAAGCAATACACGCAATGGCATTGGAATTAATTTAGATTTCTCCTATAAATTATATAAAATTTTATAAATTAACCAAATAAATATCACATAATAATATTAATTAACAAATTTGGTTACCTTTGCAACCATGAATATCGATAACCGCTTTTCAAGCTCATTCAAAAATTTCTTCGCGATTGTATCATGCTTTGAATCTTTGGCACGCTATAATTTTAAATTAGCACTGTAAGAATCAATGTAATCTAAAATTAAATATTATCATAAAATTACATACGTCAGATGATTGTTGTAATCTTAATTCTCGGATAATCCAGATAAACTCCATGATAATAGCACATTGACCCACTGTGGTTGAGCCCCATGTATTTACTTGAGAAGTAGTAGATGAAACAGTTAGTTTGGAATTATGCTTATCTTCTTCATTTTTAACTGAACTAGGTCCAACATCACTTAAAATTATAACATTCATCAATTCAACGTCTTGCATAAATAATTCAACACCATTCATGTAATTTAACAAAGTTGATATGAGATGAAGATATTCGGACACTTTTGATTCGTTATCCGACGCAACACAAGCAAGGATTGGCTTATAAAAGTGTGCACGATACTTAGTGGATAGTGACAAAAGTATTTTCTTTAGATTTGCTGATTTTTCTGGTCGAATTTTCACTATTTTCTTTAAATTGAATCCAATATGTAAGCAATTTTTCAAATTTAAGTAATCAATGTAATAAACAACATACCGCAAACAAATCTGGTATGGTTTCTTTTACTATATCATCGCCTATGGAGTCACTTATTCCAAACACTAATTGATTAAATATAGTGATAATCCTATCTAAATCATCTTGTTCAAACTAAAGATGGTAAGAAGAAGGTAAATAAATGGACAATAAATATTAATTTTTTTTTTAAAAAAGAAAAGAACTCACAGCTTCTTTAACAAGTTCAACAACTTCATTCTTCCATCCTTCATTCCATAAATACTCAATATATGTCTTAGCCAATCTTAATATATCGATCTCCGATGATTGTCTTATACTTCCGGGTGTTAATAAACCATCATTAATCTTATTTAAACTCGGCCTAGTATTTTTATATTTTGAATCAATGTCCCCAGCTGAAGTTTCATTGTCGGTTTCATTTCCACTCATTTTTTGATTATTACTTGAGCTTCTAATTGGTAGATTATATTGTTTCTTTGAGCTTTGAGAGTTATTGTCTGGCCAAGGCAGAGCAAAAATTGATACTACCACGCTTACAAGTGATCTTACTATATGAGATGGCATACTTCTAAGATTTTTTGGGGGTAAATTTTGGTTTAGCGTATGAAGTATTAGATAGGGTAATGAAATATAGGGATTTGATGAATCAATGAACGACATATTTGGATCAGCTAGTATCTCAATTGCAGATTGAGCAAATAATTGAATAATATGCTCATATAAAGACTGCATAGATAAGTCGGGAGTTATCCAATATTTCTAAAGTAGATATTACAAATTTATTAACTTAGGCCAATTTAATATTTAAATTAACAATATTACACAAACTCACCCCTATAAGATTCTCCATAATATATTTACATAGCTGAACATCTTTAACTAGCAGACATTTAACTAAGCCCTCTACAAATATACAACGAGCCAAACTATCGTATTTGTTAATTTGTACTCTAGCATTCCCAATTGTCATTTCATCTGGATCAATTGAGATTAAAGTTCCAGCGGCCAATCGAGACAAAAATCCATCAACCATTTTAAATAATTTGTTCGATTCTTCTGATTTTAAATTGGACGAAGCAGTAACAACTAATGTATGAATAAATGTATATATAAGTGAATGAATTGCAGCTACTGAAGTAGGAAAATATGAATTCATTGCCGTAGCGTTTAACAATTTTTCTGTTATATCACATAGGCGGTTCTAAAAAAGAGTTACTTTTTTACTAAAAAAACAATTTTCGGAAACAATTGATAAAAATTTTGAAATTGAAACTTACCCTAATTATACTATGATGCGTTTCTAATAATTTACAACACCATTGAATTCGCGCAAAATTTTCCTTTGATATTAATAGAAAAAATTTTCAATTAAATGTAAAAAGAAAAGGAGATTTATAACATTAAAAAACATACATCAGGATCTGCAGGCCTATAGGTAGCCCTAATATATTCAAAAATATCCAATGATTGATTACAGTCATCGGCTGAATTACAATAGTAAATTTTAACAATAGTAAATAAAATTACGTATAATGATATAAAATAAAATAAATTTTTTAAAAAAAATTATTGAACATCAAACCTACCATTCCCTGGATAATTATAAAATGGTTTGGCTAATTCGGATAATATTTGATGACTGTCAGGTAATTTCACCACATGCTTCCATCTTTTCAATAATTTATAAAGTTCCGATAAAAAATTAAAATGACCCCCCGCACTTCTTACACTATCCTCTCTTAGTATATCTACTTGTTGTTTATTTCCTTTATCATTTACAGGTAAAGGACCTAAAGAGCCTGCAGAGTTTCCACTACCTCCTATGCTTGTAAACATATTACCACCATATGTTCTAGTAATTAATCGTTCTAGATCCTTTTCCATTTTATTCACATCTGATCTTTGTTGTACGGTAGATTTAAATCTTAACATCTTCAAAGCATTTCCTTGATAAATATCCCGTTTTGAACTTGATTTTGACAATACACTTGTTCTCTCAGCATCATCAGAGTTATTATTATTATTATTATTATTATTATTACTGTTGTTTTGGTTACTAAACAAATCCGATGGTATAGGCGTCTGTGGAATATTCTCATCGACCACTACCAAATTTCTCAATTTATTCCAATGTGATGGAGTATTGTGAAGATCATTAACTGGTGCTACCGTAGCTTTTGTAGAAATTGTATCTAAATCATTTTCTTCCGTAGAAACTGTTGCAATTTCCAATGGGTCTATATAATTTTGTGATTCATTATTCGTTATATCTATTACGTGGTCAATTTCTGGTTCCAAAATTTGCGAATCTCTAATGTACGTTGTGTCTAAATAAAAAAATTATCGAATAAATTTATATTCATAAAAGAACAATAACAACGAAATGAATTAGTTTTATACCCTTAGAGTATTCCATTATGTATTAATTTCGAATTAAATTTATCATAATTATCATAAGTCAAAAGTGGCAGAACCGAGACAGAAGTTTAGAATTGTTTTTTTTTAAAAAAATAATAAACGAGAAGTTTAAATTAATTTATTTAATGTATAAATTACATTTAAATTCTCGTTTAGTTTCATATTTATAATATCGGATATTAAAAAATCACAAAATTTTCCAATTGGCTGTTGTGTAATTGTACACAAAACAGGTACTGTTTAGTTGTACCGTGACAGATCAACAATTTTTTTCTGATAAGGATTATGTCTTCTCAACGTTTAGCTGATACTTATAGTATTGCTAACGCGTTTGCTAAAATTGGATCAAATTTTTTGCAAATACAATCAAAAAACACCGAATGGTTTTATAAAACTTCTAATTGGCGATGGTCTGTTAAATATCAAAAACCATCACCTCAAGCACAGGACATTCGCCTCCCAATGACAACTTTAGATTCCAAAGTTATAATAGATGAACCAAATACATATAAAGCATCAATTATTGAAACGCAAGAACATTCTAATAAAGAGAATACACTTAAAAAATCAAAAATACCCACATCAAGAGTTAGTCGATTTTTTCATTATGGAGGTAAGTTTAGAAGTTTATTAAATATTAGTTTTTAAACAAATTTAACAATTGTAAATTTTTAGGATTGGCTATTGGATTGGGAGCAGGAGCTATGAGTGAGGCTGTTCGAAGAGCTACGGGAATTTCAAAAACAAAAGGTAATTAATTATTTTATCAGAATAAATAAAATAATTTGAGATATGATTAATATGTAATTTTAATTTTGAAGGTGGCTCGGTATTGATGAGTGAAGCCAATATAGAGCGTCTGGTTAATAAATTATCTCGAATGCGCGGAGCTGCATTGAAGTTGGGACAGATGATAAGTATTCAAGGTAAATAAAACAAAACTATATCATTACGATTTTCTATTATATAATTTACATAACACTTATTTTTACAGATAATGATATGCTACCTGTACAATTGGAAAAAGTATTGTTGCGTGTTCAGAATAGTGCCAATTATATGCCAAATTGGCAAATGGAGGTAAGGTAAAAAGGCTGAGTTATTAAATTTTTAATACTTAATATTAAACTAAACAATTTTCAAATTAGAAAGTAATGGCAAAGGAACTTGGTCTAAATTGGCGTGATAATTTTAAAACTTTTGATCCGATTCCAATGGCAGCAGCATCAATAGGCCAAGTTCATAATGCTCAATTATCCAAACCTCCCTATTTACCAGTAGCAATTAAAGTACAATATCCAGGAGTTGCGGCTTCGATCGATTCAGACTTGAATAATCTAAGAACTTTAGTAATAATGAGCAATTTATTGCCCAAAGGACTTTACCTTGATAATACAATTAAAGTAGCAAGAAGAGAATTAGCATGGGAAACTGATTACGTTAGGGAAGCTACCTGTATGGAGAAATTTGGAGAACTTTTAAAAGATGATAAGGATTTTGTTGTACCTAAAGTGATGAAAGAATATTCTACAAAAATGGTTTTAACTAGTGAAAAAATGATGGGCGAACCTTTAACTTATGCTGTTTACTATAGCCAAGAACTCAGAAACAAAGTACGTATTTTAAAAAAATGAGATATTCTCATGTTTATGAATAATTATTTAAATGAATTTATTAGATTGGTGAAAATATCTTGAAACTTAGTTTAAGAGAGTTAGCTGAATTTCAATTTATGCAAACTGATCCGAACTGGACTAATTTCTTATACAATACTAAAACAAGAAAGGTAAAAAATTTTAATTATTGTTATATTTATATATTTATAATATATTTCATCATGATATTTATAATAATATATTATTAGATTGAATTAGTAGATTTTGGAGCAAGTAGAGGATTTGATTCCAAATTCATAAATTTATACTTGCAAATTCTAAAATCGGCAGCAAAAGGAGATAGAGAAGGATGTTTATTTTATTCAGAACAAATAGGCTATCTAACAGGATATGAAACTGAGGTAATATATATATATATATATTATTTTATAATTTTTATAATTTATGTAATTTTTTGCATATATTCTAATTCCTCTATTATGTAAATTTATAGGTTATGAGAAATGCACATATTGATTCAATATTGACATTAGGAGAACCATTTTCAGAAGTCATGTATGATTTCTCTAAACAAACTATAACTAAAAGAGTAAAAGATTTAATACCTACAATGTTGAAATATAGATTAACTCCACCGCCTGATGAAACTTACAGCTTACACAGAAAATTATCCGGCGCATTTTTACTTTGTGCTAAATTAGGTGCCAAAGTTAGATGTAAAGGTATTTTTGAAGAAGTTGTTGGCGAGATATAAAATCAATTTCCCTAGAAATTAAATTCACAAGAGATATTGACTTACTAGACTATTTCACAATCATTATTTAGAAATCATACAAACTTTCAATTTAAAAAAACAAAATCATTTATTTAATTTTCATTTTCAAAATTCGAATGGAAAATTTTAGAATAATAAATAAATTATTTAAAACTACTTCATCAATTAGAAATAGGTTTACTTTGAGAACTGCATAATTAATTATATTGAAGCGGACTCTTAAAAAAATCAGCGTCTATTATCGTTAATAAAAAAATGATTATATTTGTCACCAAAATATTTATTTCAAGATTATGATAAATCTTCATTGGATCTTAATAAGACTGTACAATTGAATCAATTGAATCTAACAGTACAGCAATAGCATGTTAATATATATTATAGAATTAAATCTTAACATATAATAATAAAAAATTAAAATAGAAATAATGAAAAATTTTAAGATACCACAGTAAGTTTGAAAATTAGATCTAGATACTATGTCACGCTTATGTAATTTGTAGAAAGATTATAGTCGAAAATTTGAATCTGGATGATATATCACCACTCTTCAAATATTTACTAATTCGATAGCAACTTATATGTCGCACGTTATCATTTAGTTACTAACTTCAAATGGAAAGATTTAGGTCTATAAAAAAGAAAAGAAACAAATATTATTATCTAACTCAACTTTAAATACAATATTTTAAGTTTATACCTTGTAAGATAATCAAATCCAAACTTTGACTATTTAAAAAAAAAAAAAATTAAATTAGTATCAAACCAAACACCAAACGCATAAAGAACGATAATAGATTAACAACTTACCAATGTGCATCCTCTCCCTGAATTCTTAACTCCAACCCAAGCTAAAGCTGGATCAAGATCTATATAATATATATTAACAAAATTCTTAGAAACTTCTATTTCAGTTACCATCTGCACTTCTATTACTATTATTATACAAAAAACATACAATCACAACGGTTCATAAACCAAGTTCCAGTATCAATTTCATTTCCAATCGCAACAGCTGCATCAGGATCTTTAGTCCAAATGCTGGCTGTAAGACCAAACTCTGAATCATTCATCAGCCGAATTGCTTCCTCATCCGAAGAAACCTATGAAATGCAAAACATGAATAGTAAAATCTTAGAAAGATTTAACAATAAATAAAGAAATACAATTAGTCAATAGAATGATATTAACCTTCATGATTCCAATTACAGGACCAAAACTCTCTTCTGTCATGACCCTCATTGAATGATTTACGTTAACAAGAACTTGAGGTGCCATGTATGGTGTTTGTTTCTGACATATATTAAAAACAACAGGATTAAAAATGGCACACATTGATGTTAAAAACCATAAATCAAAAATATCGAGTTTCAATCACCTTATCTTGCGGGAACAATGCAGTTTCGATTAAAGGTTTTGCACCTTGATTAACTAAAGTTAAATGATTGTTAATAATATGATAATTATATACAAAAAGCTAAAATATTTGTTTCCTAACCGGCTTCTTCAATTTGATTTCGTACAAACTCCGCAGCTTTAGTACGAACCATGGGACCGAGAGTTGTGTCAGGATTCAATGGATCACCCAATTTATATTGCTAATAAATAACATTCAAACAAATTATTTCTACGAATTTAAAAGAGCAAAAAAATAAATGAATCATTACCTTCGTTAAATCCACGAATTTCTGAATAAACTCTTCATATACTTTTTCATGAACATAAATTCGTTCAATCGCACAACAACATTGGCCACTATTAAAAAATGAACCATCAACAAGCTGTTCAACAGTATAATCGATGTCAGCATCATGCCGTACATATGCTGGATCCTTGCCACCTAATTCAAGTCCAGTTGCTGAGAAATAAGAAACACAAGTTAATAAAATATGTTCATACAATTATGTACAATAAACATCCAAATGTTTTGAATAATACCAATGAATTTAGTACTGGCCGCTTTTTGGATTTCTCTACCCCCTTCAACTGAACCAGTGAAATTTATGTATGCAATAAGAGGATTCTTGATGGCTTTCTCCGTATCAATATGTGACATGTGCAAAAACTGAAACACGTTATCTGGAAGACCAGCCTCCTTAAAAGCTTCGGCAAATCGCTCGGCACATAAAGGAGTCTGAGAAGATTGTTTCAAAATAACGGTATTACCTAAATATCAAACCCGTATTAAGAACTCATAACTGAAGGAAATAAAAAAAACGTTCACATAACTAATGACCACCTGCAAGAAGTGCTGGAACAACACCGTTTATAGAAATGAGATATGGATAATTCCAAGCTAAATTGAATGACTTCTTAGTTATCGATACAATATTAAGAAAGTGTGCGAACTTTGATTAACTAAGAAAACGTACCAGCAATTATAAGAATTGGACCTAATTCAAATAGAAATCGTAAGTAACTTTACAATATCTATAAAATTGCAAGCATCAAAAGTAAACCGAACCTAATGGCTCTTTTCGAATAAATCGCTTAAAACCAGGTTTATCAGAATCCGTGATTTCAACATCTTTGAGGCCTTCCTCTGCAATTGAAGTCATATAACGTGCACGTTCCTCTGTTCCATTAATTTCATTGGGCCCATATTTAATTGGCCTAAATAACAACAACAAACGTGAATCAAACGATAATGAATTCTAAAATGAAATCAAAACTAAACAAACCTTCCCATTTGCAAAGTCAATTCCTTTGACAAATCTTCTTTCTTTGCAACAAAGGCATCAACAAATTTGGTCATAATTTGCACACGCTCTTTGACTGGAACTTTTTTCCATGCTTGAAAGGCTATATTTGACCGTTCAATTGCCTTGTTGACTTCTTCAGTCGTAGCTAAAGTTCTAGTGACGTATGGCTTATTATCAACAGGAGAAATAGTTATTTGTTTCGACATTTTCAAAAAATTTAAAAAATTTGATACTTCAAAAAATCGAAATTATTTTTTTTATACCTTGTAAAGAAAGATCGAAACTTTAATTTAGTTATTTATGACAACCCGTGGGAATCTGCAATGTCCTACATCAAATTAAGCTACAAGATCTTAAGATCCAATAAGATCTTCGATGTTGTACATATCATGGCCTGCACCCTCTATAGTCACACTCCTTGAATGAGATTATACAGAGAGTGACTAAAGAGGGGTCTACGTCCCATTTTGCAACGCTTATACGTAATTAAAAAATCCTTCCCCGCATCAGCATCAAGGAACACTTATGACCTGACAACTATCTTTTCTCTTGTTCTCACGGCAAATTCCAAATTCCAAAAGCGTTTTAGAACGAAAACATGATGTAAATTTACGTAATACACTATGCTTATGTCCCTTATATCACTTGATCATCAAAATCGAATCTACATTTTCTGCCGAGAAAGGTTCTTTTAGATTCTGTCATGCTTCGTTAGGGTTTTGAGATTCTTAGTCTCTTTTCAGAGAAGTGCCCTAACGCAATTCTAGCTTTTGGTCATGTTAAGAAAGGGCATGATCTTGTCAACATGGTAGAATTCTAACAAGTATTCTTGCATAGAGCCTGCATTCCATGTTTCGTCTTTTTAACGACATTCAAAGTTGGGGAGCATCGGTATAAATAGTGGAGATTAATTTCTTCAACTTTTATAGACGGAAGAATACGGAGAACGCAATAATATAACTTACAACAACAAAAAATGTAACGTCCAATTACGTTATGAAAATTGCTGACGAAGTAATTACGAGTCGAGTCGATTATGCAATCAAGTTCCTCGAAGAACTTATTTACATTACAGAAAGGAAATCAACCAGAGGTTTACCCATAATCTTTTCTAATGTGAAAGCGAGCCATATTAATATAGGTACGGTTTTTATATGATACTTTTTGAAATAAAAAAATACTTAAACCTTATTATAATTTTATGCATTTCTATAGAATTAGAAGTGAAAAATAATAAATGGACAAGGATTGAAAAGAATACATGCATTGGACCTGAGAGTTAGGATATTCTTGCTTGGCTATTTTTCCTTCAGAAAAAATGGGAAAGGACGGTAAATAGGACTGAGCATGAGATTTTATAATAGTTTGGAATATGGCCGACAAATATAGCTGACAAATATAGCTTTGACTACCTCTATGGGATCGTTACCGAAAATAAACCTTAACTCATTGTGAATGGATAATATTCCATATTCTCAACATCTCTTATTACACTTGCTAAACTAAAAAAATTTTTGCTGAGAATATGGATTTAAAATATTTATATGTGCGATATTCAATCAGCATTTATAATTTTACATATTTAATTACACAATTTCTAAATGATGTGTCATCTCCTTTAATACTAGAAAATCACCAATCCATTTTCTAATATCACAAACGATTATATCAGGAGTCTGTAGGATCACTTACTTTACATGCCAAGGATGATATGGGTAAAGCTCATTCAACATCAAGTTCACTGAGAAGAGGTTTAGAGGAGAAAAGAAATTTTAGGAGAATGTGAAGCGGGTAAAACAAATGTTGGAGTAAATTGTAGGTTTATTGAGGGATATTGTTGTTAGTAAGAATAGCGAGAACCTTAAGAGAATATCATCATGTATTTATGGTTGAGATAACTTACGAGAACAATTTAAATAAACAGAGTCAATCTTCGCAAATCAACTCCGATGTGCATTTGATTTTTATATGTAGTTAGATTGTGGGGTTACGCTAATTCTTTCACTTATATTACATGAGTAATCTTTCGGTTGGGTGTATTCTTATCCAAGAAGTATCACATGAAGGGTAACACTCATTACTAGAAAAATCACTTTTTCTTATCGCCCATTAGCTTGCTGTCTTGCGATAAGACAATATAAATATATTGACATATTGTACAATTAATAAAATATATAATTAAAATATTTTAGTTTTTATTATCAGAGATCTATATAAATTTATGTAATTATTATCAGAGATCTATATAATTAATATAAATTTATGTAATTATTATCAGGGATCTATATAAATTTATGTAATTTAAATCGTGCTAGCATTTAAGGTATGTAAACAGCGATCCGCGAATTTTATCAACGATTCTTTACATTTTTCAATGCTAATTCAAACCATTCCCTTGTTATTGAATTTTTTTAATACTCCTTACAGTATGATATGGTGTCTATTGTTAAAACGAAGTAAATAATGAACATTGTTTACTATCTTTCAAGTATATCATCAGAAGAATTCGTGAAATCTTATTCAAGGTGTTCTTCAAATTCGTCATCATCATAATTATATCAAGGAATCCATCCTCATATTTTCGGTAGATATTCGCAATACAGGATATTTTATGTATTGCACGCTATAGTTAATCTATTCTCTGTCAAGTATATTTTTACAAAAAATAATCATTCAAATCTACTATTCTATTTTAATTATATCCAAAAGTATAGTCTGCGACTAGGTAAATGAGTCTACTTATAATATAAAATTTTCTTTTAAAAAGAATGATATTTCTATCAATGATTCTAACAAATTGATTAAATTAATTGGAACAAGAAAAAAAAAGATCCATAATAGATCATTTTATTGACTAATTCAATAATCCGTGTCCCACATGTTTGTCAGTCCAAGTCAATAATTGCGTATAGTCTTCAGATGTTGGTTCTATTTTGTCAAATATTTTGATGTAAGAAATCGATTTTTTTTTAAAAAAAAGAAAGAAACGAATTTAAATATAACGACATACCTAACCAAAGACGCTGTTGTTCCTGAGTGAGCGAAGCTGGAGGTATCGTTTGTATGAATTCTAAAATCTCTCGTTGAGAATGATCTATAGACTGCATTTTGCAATAGTTCAAAGTCTCTTGTTGAGTCACTTGATAATAGTTTACAGACTCTTGTTGAGTCATTCGAGAATAGTCTACAGTCCCTTGTTGAATCACTCTTGAATAGTTTAAAGTTTCTTGTTGAGTCATTTGACAATGATTTAAAGTCTCCTGTTGAGCTTCTTGTGTATAATCCAAATTTTTCTCTTGTGCGTATATCATTACATTGTTTGAATCAGAATCAGAACACTCAGAATCTGTATCTTCACTTTCTGATTCATGTCCTGAATCAAATGTATTGAAACTATATACTTTGAGTCGTCTTGAAGAATTTGATTGAGTTATACTTTCTGTACTTTGTGATGATGGGATTTCAGTCAAAGTAACTGAATTTGATCGTCCATTAGTAATTTTTAGCGATTCGTTTTCAAAAGATGAATCATTTTTTCTACAAACTTCTGATTCTTCCTCTGTATTTGACATTTCATCAAAAGATTCATTGTCTCTTAAATTCTCATAAAATTCGTTATAATCGCTAGGTTCTATTTCCCAGTCAAAACTTTCATTTGATCCTTCCAAGAGTACGTCTATTATATCATTAGTTTTATCGCTATCATTTTTTCTTAAAGAAGTAACTGTACTTGATTGTTTATTAGTAATTTTTAACGATTCTTTTTCAAAAGATGAATTGTTTTTTCTACAAACTTCTGATTCTTCTTCTATATTTGACATTTCATCAAAAGATTCATCAATATCTCCTAAATTCTCATTAAATTCGTTATAATCGCTAGATTCTGTTTCCCAGTCAAAACATTCATTTGATCCTTCCAAGAGTACGTCTATTATATCATTAGTTTTATCGCTAGTTTTATTCTTATTTTTTCTTAAAGAAACTCGTTGATTAAAATCGGTATCGTTTTCACATAAATTAGGATCCGGTTGCCAAATTGAATCATCATCAATCGCGTCTTCCTGAGGTTTTGAAGCGTGTAAATCTAAAGTTCCAACATATCGTATATTATCTTTTTGTAAGATACCTCTATCAACTACAATCTCCTCAGTAACTAAATCAATCACGTCAGTTTGTTCTGGAGAAATATTTTGATATCGTTTAATAATATCAGCCCAAGCAGCTTTTAAACGACATTTACTCTTCTCTGATTCTCGTAATGAGGATTTTATAGAAGAACTTTTAGAAGGTTTAGATTTTAACGTTTTATTAATATTCTTTTTAGTTGCAACTTTTTTTTGTTTTTTTGAACGTAACACTTTGTTACTTTTCATTTTTAAAGTTTGAAAAAATTATTTGTGAAAAAATATGTCGAATAAAATGACACTGATTTTATTGGTTGACGATCGAAAAGTAGAATAGTTAAAATTTGAACAGTAGATTAAACTTAAACGTGTTTTTTTTATATTTCTTAGGGTAATAAAATTTTTAGGGTACCGTAAATAAGTGAAATTATGAAAACCCGGGTAACTCGGGTATCGAAATTCGAAATTTTGAACAGCCCGAACAGCCCGAACAACTCAAACAACTCTAATATTCATTCCGTTACAATTATCATTTATCAGGATGGAAAAGTTTAAAGAAATTCTGTTCTCGTTAAATGAGATGGTGAAAATATGATGGTGAAAATATATTCGGGAAGTAATACACGATCTTAACACTTTTATAGGAACAAAACACATTTTTAACTAGATTATCTCTAGTCTAGACATCACGTGTTATGGATTGTAGTCATGTGACGCGGATTGTTAAACTTATCCGTTTATGAAGCACCAAAGGCTTATCTTTGACGTAAAGACTAAACAAAAGTTTGTAAAAGTTTACGCAAATTAAAATTCTTACTCTCTCCTTTATTTCTTATACGATGAACTCAGTTTTATTTACAAATATTGTATTATCTTTTATAATATTTTTTATTAAGGAAATATATTCGGTTGAAATAAAAATATATAATGGGGAAGAAGAGCCAAAAATAAATGTTACTATTATCCCCTTATATGAAATATATCCATTATGGTCAGAACAAGAAATTAGATGGGAAAGTTATTATGTAACATATGTAAATCGTATGTGTATTATTTTAAAATCTCTTTTATAATTAAATAAAAACCAATTATATTATTTTTTTTTCTAGCTGAAGTAGAAGTAGCAATATATGAATATGACCCAGAATCAGATTTTGATCAATATTATCCACATAAAATATGGAACTTTAATGAGCAGGTAAGAATTTATAATTCAAACGTATAATATTTAAAATGTTTTTATTTTATTGGCAAATTTAAATTTAAATTTAAATTTTATTTTATTTTATAGAAAGTATATTTAAATAATAGTAACAACAATAATAATAATAATCCAGTTAAATTTGTAGTACAAGATAGTTGGTTAGGGGGTAATTTGACCAATTATTATGTTCAAGTTAATCTTTTAAATGATACGAAAATCTATGGTAGGTCCTTTAGTTTTAAAATTGCGAAATCTATTATTAAAAAAAGAAAGAGAATTTTTTAAAAATTTTTCAAAATTTCCCATTCTGGTTTATTAAATATGTCATTATGTTAAAAATGTGCTGCTGGGCAAATCATATACAATTCATATAATTCATAATTTATTCATATGTAAAAATAATCATCTACTTTCGGACATAAATGATCAACATTACACAATATCTGAATATTGTTTTAAAAAAGACAATCCCTAATATGTAAAGAACAATACGTATAAAATCATTTGTAAATAATATTAGTAACAATGGTTTTTTAAATCAAATTTTATTTTTTAGTTTGTTATGTTAATTTAGTTAATTTAAATGATGATTGATTTTGAACTTCCTTTTATTTGTTTCGTTTTATATGCAAAATAATTATAAATAATTATACAATCTTAAGAAAAACGTTGTATTGTTAATTAATTTGTTATAAAATGGATATTCGTTCTTCTTCTTCTTTCTCTTTCTCAAGAAAATTATTACTTTTAAAACTTTGAAAACTTCATTTAGTGTATATAAATTTTTTTTTTTTTTAACCAGAAACCTTTTCAAACATTTGCATACATTTTATACCATTTTATACAATGATTTTATCATTACCGGAAAAATATCCGATTCTCATTACCGCTTATCATTCAATTTTAAAGATAAATTTTTATTATATCTTTGCTACATTATTCATTTATTTAGCAATAAGGCCATATATCTATTATTATAAAAATCGAAATTCATTGGCACCTGGTCCATTACCTTTACCATTTATCGGACATTGGAATATATTTTTAATAGGAGATGTGGCACAAAATAAATATAATCTTTCAGAAAAATATGGTGAAATTTGTGATATAACAATGTTTGGTCAACGATGTGTTATAATAAGTTCACCAAAATATCTTAAAGAATTATTTAGTCCAAGTGTTCATTCCCCATTTCTTCGAAGATTACCTTTAACTTCAGGTTTTATTGAATTAGGTATGGATAAAGAAGGATTATTATTAAATTGTGATGTACCAAAATGGAGACATAATCGAAAATTCTTTCAACAATCTTTATCTCCTCCTTCATTTCTTCAATTATGTACAAAATATACTGTAGAATGTTGTGAAGAAATTATTGGTTATTGGGATTGTATAAAAGATGATGAAGTTATTAGATTAGATGAATGGTTTAGAGCATTCACAAGTGATATGATGGGTTTGGTTGCTTCAGGTAGTAAAGAAACTTCAATGAAAATTCAATTCATGAAATTTACAAATCAAATTTATAAGGAAAAGAAAATTGAAGATGAAAAAAACAAAGGTGAAATTTATAGAAGATTAAGAAGTGAATACGCTGATGCTTTGGGATTTTATATTTTTGTACCTAAACTTCTTTGGAATCTTCCTTTTATAAGCGTAGCTGCTAAATATTATAAAAATATTTTAAATTATTTAACAGAATTTGAAATTCAATTTATTAAAGAACGTAAACAACAAATTAAAATTGAGAAAGATTATAATATAAGTGATCAAAATAGTAAAGTTAGACCAGATTTTCTTACTATGTTAATAACTCAAAATACTGAAGATGATCCTTCTCCTGATGAGATTAAACAAAATATTAGAGAAATGTTTAGTGCTGGTACTGGTACAACTACTACAACTTTATGTTCTATTGTTTATTTATTGGCAAAATATCCTGAACATGAAGATCGTATGGTAAAAGAAATTTTAAATGTAATTGGTAATGATGATCAAATTACTACTTCTAATTTATCAAAATTACCTTTTACTGAAGCTATAATAAATGAATCAATGAGATTATATCCTGTAGTACCAATAACTTATCGTTATTCTCCTGATCAAAATACTAAAATTGGGGATTATCATTTTAATAAGGATACAATATTTGCAATTAATTTATCTCATATTCATCGTAATTCTGAATATTTTGAAAATCCTGATCAATTCATACCTGAAAGATTTCTTGGTAATTGGAAAGAAAGAATTCCTAAATTCGCTTTTTCACCTTTCGGTCATGGTATGAGAAATTGTCCTGGTAAAAATTTTTCTATGGCAGAAATGAAAGTTATTTTAGCCACAATATATAGAAAATATACTTTTAAATTAGTTAATCCTAATGAACCTATACAATTTAAATTCACTTTAGTTAATGATATAAGTAAAATGGAAGTATACATTGAAAGAAGAAAATAATTTCATCATTTTTATTCTGTTGATCAGTAATGAAATAACATATTTTTTGGACTATATTTTTTTTTTTTTAATTTTGTTATATAATATTTCAATTATTTTTATTTGCATCTTGATACATACTTTTTGTTGTCAATATTACATTTTATTAATAAATATATATTTATTTCCATCTGTAAAGAGCATCCTTGTGTATTTATCATTTTCTTTTTTTACATAACATAAGATTCTTATAATTACGTTGTGTTTAACAAGGTATTTATTACTTACAGCGGCTACCTGATTTTTTGGTGGAAATAAAAGAGTAATGATTTACGTGTTGGATTCAAAACATAGTTTAAACCGCATTTATTCACGTAGCCGCATTCATGATTAGCGTCCCGATTTAACCGTGGAAATCTCATGGAATTCCACGGCGATACGACTTAAACAAATATCATATCAGTCAATTTATTAAAATGCTTATCTTAATTCTCAATTGTTTTTGAATTTTATTAAAAATAATGTCGCTCCGGACAATTTTAAAATGAATATTGTATATTTGTTATTAAATAATAAATTACTACGTACAGATATAAATTATTTACAAATGCTTTTGAGTTATGATCCTATATGTTTTACCATAAGTTTTATTTTTGGTAATTTCTTCAAGAATTTGTTTTGATAATTTTGCGTAATTTTCTTGATTTAAATTTAATACCTTTGACATTAATGGATATAATGATTTTAAAATTTCCGACGCTATTATAGAAGATTAAAAGGTTAGATAGATTAAAGATTATTAAATTCAAATTATTTATTATAAAATAATATTTACTCATTTCGAAAGGTTTATCAGAATTTTGAGATTTAAATGGATACCAAGCATTTATTTTTTCTTTCATAATAGTAATTCCAAGATCTTGATAAATATTCATTATATCTTGTAATTGATCCATATCAAATTTGCTGAGACCGAACATGCTATTGACTTTTTTGAATTTAAATGAAATTAAAAAATCTTCGATAAAAAAATAAATATATCATTTTTTTTAAAAAAAAGGTATAAAAATTTTATTCTTACTCTTTCGATTGTAACCTTCCGTTTTAGGACCAGCATTATAAAGATTTGTATCCGAATCCATGATCTTTTCAGAAAATATTTATTAGTTTAAAAAAAAGATAGTGTGGTTAAAAAAAAAAATCACATATATATATATTTATTTATACATACTTCTATCCAACCACCGGGCTTACAAATTCTAAATATTTCTGGAAGAATGAGCGTCTTCCATTCAGTTTCACTAAAACATTTGATCATAAATCTTACGTGAATAAAATCAAAGGTATTATCTTCAAAAGGAATACCATTAAGAATATTATGTTTAACAAATTTCAAATTTTTTGAAACTTTTTCAATCGGAAAGATTTCATTATTATCAATTCCGATAAAATTGCTGTTTGAATATTCTGAAGAAAGTTCTGTGAGCCAAATTCCAGAACCGCATCTTTTTAAAAAAAAAAGAAAGAAAGAAATCAATAAATACAAACAACATGCTATTATTATTTTTTAAAATTTTACACTAACCCAAGATCAATTACGTTTGCTCCACTGTGTAAATTTCTTTCTATCGGAGATGAAAAATTACTATTCCATATATATCGATAATAAGCATGTAGTAAATTTGACCTATTGATATTTTCCAAATTACTCAGAGGATCTTCATTATAATGATTATGATTATTATTATTATTATTATTATGACTATTATTATATTTCATGAATGTTTTTTTTAGAAATTTTTTAATTTGTGATGTTTCAATACTTTTTAACATTTCTTCTAAACGATTCTTCATAATTAATTTTATTTTTTTATTTTTTTTAGAAAACCAATTAAGAAAGAAATGAAAATGAAATTCGAAAAAAAATGCGTGAAATATAAGAAAAAAAAGGATCATTTCCCGTAGATGCTGGGAAAAAACGGTGATAAAATATTTCCATTCAGTTGAGAGGTGTAAACAGTTCCCAAACCAATTAACAAACAAACAGTTAACTACATCTGAATTTTGCTTTTTGTCATGTATCACCAAATTTAATGTACATAAATAACAATTTCAATGTCCTTGTATAAATAATAAAATATCAAAAAAGGGTTCATTATTCATTATTCATGTAAATACCAATAAGCTTGGCTAATGCAGATCATTTTTAAACTTTCTTTTAATCCCAACCATACTACCTAGTAATTTTAGTTGATTTGAATTTTTTGCAACTGATATTGCAGATTGTACGCAAATAAACTATTGATATTCAATATTGTACAAAAGATTAGCTATGGATGAAAATATTGGACAAACAAAATCAGATTGATCTTATTAGACCGTGTCGATAATAATGATAATAATTGTCCAATTTTAAACATTGGTTTTTGTTCTTTTGCATGAGTTTACAAAAATACTTTAAGGGGAACACAAAGTTATGTGTCTAAATAACTTTATTAATATAGATTTTTCCGAACATTTCAAAATATTATTCATTCATACTTGTCGCTCTAGACAAACACTAAATAATTTTTAATTCGGAGGCTTAAGCCATTTCTGATTTGTCCAACAACAACAAAAAAAAACTTCTTTCTAAAATTCGAATGAAAAAAATATGGATTTACCTTACATCAAATTTAGGTTATGTTAATAATAATTGCGTATACATTACAATAATTGAAAACAATTATTGTAATGATTCTATAGGATTATCCTTAGTTACGCAATGGAATAATGTAATCAAGAACGAGTATTGGAGGCTTAGAGAAGAACTTGTAATCAATCCATTTAGGTGAAAAACCAATTATTAAAATTATTTATTATAATCACGAATAAGAGTTAACGGCTTGGGTAGAAAAAAAATGTAATCATACAACGTTACGTTACAACTAACATTATAATTATAATCAGAAACCTTATTATAAGTCACGTGACTGCATTATCAAATCATTTAATTCAATTCCGTGTTTTCTATGTTTGCTTGAATGTCATAATCCAAATTTGCTTCTTGTTCATTTAGTTCCTCCTCCTCACGCCTCAAATTTTCTTTTGTGATTTCGGTTTCCTTAAATAGCTTCTCAGAGAGATTCTTAACTATGGAGATACTCTGCTCACGACTGGAGTGTTCTTTCAAATATTTTATCAAATTAATATGATTTTTCTCCATCAGTTTCTTGTATTCAAGACATGTCTCTTTCTAAATATAAGAGATTAATTTATTATTTTATTGTGTGGAGCAGATGATAAATATTATAAACTTTAAACTTACCAACGCAATACACTTGGCATATTCTTTGACGGTTTGACGCTTGAATGTAGGACTCCTATACAAGTTTTGTTTGCTTTCATTATCTTTTTTAACTCCATTTTTAATTATTCGATCAATATTCTGGTTCGAAAATTGTTTGGAGCGCGTGTACATTTTTTCCCAATATATGCGTGCGGCTTCAATTATTCCTTCAATATTATTAAGGGCAGAAAACGCGTGGTCCAAAGACTTTATAACTTCCGTTGCTAGAACGGATTGGGTTTTGCAATTTAATAAGCTTAAACTAAAAGTGGCAATTTTCTCATTGGCTTCACGACGTGCAGCGATTTGGCTGCGATGTTCTTCGATTAATCGCTGTTTTTCTGTCATCACATACAATTGAGTGGTGAGCTGTGAAAGTTATAGGCATAATAAATCAGTTCAGAATATGAATATTAACCTTTACGTTCACTATCAGCAAGTTCTTGGGCATTTTGATATTTTTTTATTGGAAAGGGGACAAACATATTAACTATTCCCCATCTATAGGCAGATTTTTCAGCTTTCTCGACGTTTTTAGTTATCACCTCTATCTCTGTTTCCAAATTTCCAAGCCTTTTTTCAGCAGCTACTTTTTCGCTTAAGAGTGCTTCTTTTGTTTTACAGTTATTTATATCTTCCTGTTTATGTTTATTCGCTGCATTAGAGATGTTCTTAACTTTTTCGGCAGCAAGTTTGGTTTCACCTTTCAACTTTACCGAAATATTAAGCATATTTTCGTTTAATTCTTTAACGCTGCCAAGCATTATAAGAGCTTCATCTTCAAATGAAGAAAGCAGGTATTCATAAATTATCTTCCAGGTTTCCGCCATCTCCTCTGAAGTCTTTTCAAATGCGAGAATGGCCACTGAGGTGTCCCCGGCCAATTGGGTAATAATTCTACCGATATCACGTATCTTTGGTCAAGGAAATAAGATATCATGTTAAGATTAAATAAATGAAAATAATTTTTTTTTTTTTTTTTTTTACGAGATAAACGATACAGAAAAATAAAATTAAATCAATACCTGAATTTGAATTTCACAATGATCATAGGCTCCATTTTCTGCAAGACGAATAAGATCGGTAAGTTTTGCAAAATCTGATGTAAGGTTTTCGAAGCTTGCATCTCTTTTAATATTCAAACATTCTTTCCTTATTAATTGGCTTTTTGGATCAGGAAGTTCAAGTAAATTAAAAACTTCGTGCTGCTTATTAGTCACGACTTCAATTTGAGTTTCGGTCATGATTTTAGACGATCAAATTGACTGAAGAAATTTGGATCTTTTTTATACGTTTTTATAACTTTGCATGTTATCGTACATTTATTTATAATTATGGGCGTTTCATGACATATTCTTATTGATATTTATAATTCAAAACTAGATGAAATTATTTGAATGTTCATATGAATATCATTTATTAAAATATGGTTATTTCGTATGATAATTTTCAGTATCATGTTCTTTTTTTTTTGATTAATGTATGAGAGAGCGTTAGTACTCCAGAAGATAAAGACTATATTGATTGGTGGACGAGAACATCTTATATAGCGGAAATCGAACAAAATATAAATATTGTAATTATAAAGAATCACATCTGACTAATCATAATATCGATATTGTTTTTGGTGTAATTAGAAAAACCTATTACTAAAGAAAAATTAGCATAATAATAAATAAAATTTGTATTATATACGTTTTTTAAATTTCAAATTCGAACGTGGTGATGCGTGTGTAAACATGGAATTAAGAATTCATACATGATATACTTAGTATACAGTATACAAATAAATTTTCGCGGAATCGATTCGTTTACTGTATATGAAAAAATAAAAATTATTTTTTTTTCACTCATTAGAATGAAACACTTTGCTGATTCATGATTCGTTATTAGTTTTGATTTGAGCATTAGATACTGTTACAAATTTGGTTAATTCTCCTCAAAGATCGATAAATATTCTGTACACTTTCACATGCTACTTAAAGTTCCTTTGCTTATATAATTCTAACATTGATAAATTTGTTTATTCATTTCTACTAATAAACAAGAAATAATATCGCTATCATCACTTTTCCTGCTCGTCCAATATCTTTGAATGATGGGTTGTATTGCAGGTTGGTGTGGCGTCAAGCAGGTTCGAATTGTATACGTAGGTTAAGATAGATAATAATTTTGGTTTTAATTTTAATTTTTATTAACTAATGGTAATTGTAGAAATATCGATATTTTTAGACTTAACTGTTAACAAAATCATTAATTAATTATCTCGGCATTTGTAGAATTATATAATATAATTCAAATAATTATTTTTTTCGAAGCAAAGTTAGTGATGTCTAAATTTAGTATTAGTATTTTAAAACCCATTGTATTAATCTGACAATCAAATTTTATCGGTATATTTACCATTTCTTGATTCTTAGTTGAAAACGTTTCAAAACAATAGATTTCATATTGCTACTATACAGTGAATTGATTATATTAACACGTGTTTCAAAATTCTGTCCAGCAAGATTATTCATGGAATGTTGTTACAGTACAAATGTATTTTTTTCTATGGAATTTTGAAAGTTTAATATTTGAGATCAATTGGGATGTGAAATAGTATATGAATACGTACAGTATATTAAAAGATTTTGTGCGTTAGTTGCTGATATACAGATACTCGATAGTTGAATAATATGAATAATACGGAATTAATGTTATGGTCGTACGATTGACCGTATTTGATTAATGTGGCTTTTTGAAAATAAAAAGCGCATGCGATGTAAAATTCCTTACTGTTACTGTTTCGACCACCTAAGCTAATGTATTATTTTCTCTTGAGTCTATATGCAACGACGTATCGCAGTTTGAAAGAAAAAATTACGGAAGTCCGGACGAGACATTCCGAAGGTATAAATAAATATATTTTTTCGTTTGTGGACTTACATTTTACAAGAAAACAGTTTGCAAACTAATGACCATTTTTAGATTTCTGAGGACCTTATGGTATATTTCGTATTACTTACGACCGTTTGATTTTATCCAGAATATCGATTAATAGGACAAATGAAACTGGGGCATGAGTTAATATTGAGATAATGTGATGGTTAAGACAATCGAAAAGCTGGTGTGGTCCCAAAAAAAATTACTCGTCATTTATTTTGTACCGTAAAGCAAAACAAAAGGAAGATTAGTTTTTAGATTTATTTAGAACTTCGAATATCATTTTGAACTGAATCATGTAATTTATTTGTATTCTGTATCAATAAAGACACTGATGTTCGATTCATATATACGAATTCATTTTCTCGACATTGATCAATTTTTTTTTGGGGGGCAATACTTCCTGAACTAAATTCAGAGACGCGATTTTGATTTCTTATATATTGTGCATGAAAATGCGTTATGAAACCAAGATGAAAATACCAGATTTACATCCTGAACTTGAAACAGTTGAGACTTGAGACAGTTATGAAAGAGCTCAGGAGCAGAGCTAGAAAAAAAAAACACAAAATGAATACAACTAATCTTGTAGCTGAAAAATTCTAAGCTTAAATCTAAAATAGTAAATTAAGCTATTGAAATACCTGACTCCATAATAGACCGTCTTAATAATGCCAATTCTATCATTGGAAGATGAGGAGGCGGATTATTTCTTGGATTCGGATGCAAGGAAAGGTTAGTATTGAGATAAGACAGAGGAAACGGGAGGAAAAGATTTTAAAACAAAATCTGACTTTGGGAATCAGAGCAATCTATTCATCATTTGACCTTGGAACATGTGAACCCGAGGATTCTTCAACAAAAAGCACTTTGCAAAAAAAAAAAAATAGAGAAAATTTCATGCATGAAGTGTCTGGGAACCCAAACATCAACTCTATCGGCTCTGCCTTATAAATAATGGTAGTTCGTTCTAATGATGCAGGATCTCAAAGCTTAAATTCTCCGGTCTTTGTTGCCGAAAGAATCTATCTTGTTCTATTGTCTATTTGGAAAGCTCTCATCCAAAAAAATAATGAGATAGCATCTGAATACCAAGTTGATCCAGAACTCAATATTTTTAGTAAAATGTTAAATAAAAGTTAGGACCAACTTCTTACAGATAGTGACAATGATCAATATTCTACCCCGCAATCTTCTAATTATACCATTACCATATTTCTAGGAAAGAGATTGAGAAAACGATGATATTTGGGAATCTTAAGATGTCCACAGTGCAAAGATGAAAATTTTAAGATTTCATTCCGTGGGAAGTCTTATTAGGTGATAGAGTAGACTGAACGGGACTAAATTGAGATTGAGAACTTATATTCTTGGTAACGCAAAGTTTGGGTTTGGACATTGGTACGCTCACGAAAATATTTAACTTTCTTAAGCCCGTGGGAACCGATGCAGTCTTACAGTAAGACTATTTTCTCCCTCATTTACATTCATGTTATTTCTATTAAGGTCTACTGATTCTGGAAGAGAAAATATTGATTAGGGTCCCTAATTATAATTTGAAAATTGAAATCTATATTTATATATTGAAAAGATGTATATCTTTTTATTATAATACAAAAATAAACTTTAATAAATGCGATTAATAAATTAAAGATCATTGATGATAATCTTATTTTTCAACGTACAGATTAAAAAAAAAAGCCTGACGTGAACGGCAATAAAATTTATTATTTCCGAAAGATTAATCAATAGTAGCGTAGAGCAACACGCAAAATAAATACAAATTTTAAGTGTATTACTTAAACAATAAATAACGAAATTTCTAATCTATAGCCAACTCAACTCATTCCTTTAATCTCTGATCTGCAGTATTGAAAGTCTTTGTCGTTTTCGCTAAACCTTTAATGAATGAATATGTTTGACTCTCCTAACTTGCCCACGTCTATCTATATTTGTTTAACATCTTTAAAGTCTTTCTGAGTCTTATACAAGTTTCCTTTACTCTTTAGACTCCTTGGTGAGGTTTACAAGTCTTAACGTAAGTCGTAACTCCAGCACTTTTTCGAAATCCCTTTTACTTACAACGACAATCTCTTCAATTGTGCGAAATTTTAAGGTGAGTCTTTGCCAGCTCACGCATACATTCAATAGATTGGTTGTAATTTCGTATTTATAGCGCTCAGGTGTTACATGCCGATGTTGTTGATCAGTGCCCGAGCCAGAATTCACATCTATATTCCTTATAAGAATCGATATGTACAATACAGTTATCTTTCAAGCTACATATACTACTAGCTTGGTGGACTTTATAGTAATAAATTTTGATGTAGAAATAACAATTATTGTAATCAGGATATTATTTTACGTGGTAACGTTTGATATATCTAAAAAATTGTTTTTTATATTTATTAAATTATTATAACGGGATTTTAAACATTAATTTAAATTATTATTTTCCTTCATTATAATTATCTTCGCTATCTATATCATCAAATTCATCAAACATTATAGAACTTCATCTCATCCACTTCTCTTCATCCACTTCTCTTATTGTATTATTAAGTAGTTGAATCAAATAATCCTCACTTCCGTCTTTAGTAATAGAAAGTCCATTCCTACGACTAATCATAGGGTTAATTGTATATATACTGATCATTTGATATAATTAAGAATTGTACGCTACGCTGTCCATTTCCAAGACTAGGATAACAACTTCCAAAGTAGAGAGGAAATGTTTTTAGTATATGTTCTGACTGTCAGAAAAACACGGATTTTCATAATCAATTTATAGGGTGAGCGAGTCGAATAGGGGATTAAATTATAATTGAATTATGAATTTTATGTAATACATGCCCAATATTGATCCCAAGTTCTATATTTATTGTATATACAGTATATTTTTTGCTCAAATGTTCGCGTATGACTTCTTTGATTGCACGGCGAAACTTTTGTGCGTTGCTAGTACTATATAATAATGGATTCATGTTATTTTTGACGTCTACTCAGAGTCTCGGACATCAACACCACTATACCTAATTTTTGGACAAAAAATTACGCTAAAAATGAATGATTCTTTAACATAACATCATTCAGACGTAAGATAATTATAAAATCATTTTCAATATGAAATTCGGGTAATATTTACAAATTTGGTTAATTCTCCTCAACAATTAGCGTAATGGATAACTATTATCACTTCTTCGTCGTTCGGTAAACTTTCACATGCTATCATTAAAAATTTTCTGGCACTGGATAATTTTACTGTAAATTGCTTTTTTTAAAAAAGATTTTTGGACATTGGCATCACATTAACAAAAAATTATGCTAACCTAATGTCATTATGATTTATTTAAATGTAAAAAACAATAAACCTTTTGTTATGGTGAAATCGTGTATTCTTATCATAATGAATTACTTCCATAGAGAATCTTTACAGATATTGACATCATTTTAAACAAATTAAACAAATTAAACATTACGCTAAAAGCTTGACCTCAATATATTCAAACGCCAAAATGCAAATCTTTATATTTGAAATTTCGTTTTATTAATAGTTAAAAAGTGGACAAAAAATGCCAGTCTTTTCTATTTTTAGAGCTTTATTGTTACGTGCTTAAATGGACTAAGTCTTTTTAAATCAAACTAGGAGTTAATTTATTTCATTTGTACTAAAATTTCGGTAAATTTACAAAGAATGCAATCGTAATTTCCTGAGATTGCAATATCTACGAATTATTTTTAAATACGCAAAGGTTAATGTAAATAAGCCTATACGTTATTTTTACGCCATGAAAAGGTCAATTACGACCTACGCATATATACAGTATATATGCTAATTCATCTGATACAATCAAATTATATAGTGTAGAATCCCATTTTCAAAGGATAATGTTTTAGTATAAGTGTAACCAGGAATGTTACACAGTACGCGAAAGCAAATCGACCAAATAGTTCATCAGTACAATATTTCAAATTTCATAATCAATTTATAGAGCGAACGAACAGGAAAGTTTGATAATTGAATTACGAATTTTTGTGTGATAAGAAAGTTTTATAGTTATCTAACGTTACAAAAATTTCTGCGAAATCCTTTTTGGGTTATCGATTCTGAATTTCGACATAAAAAATTTAAGATCTTTGATTGAATTGCACGGAGGAATTTATGATTAATTTCCTGTTTTTTCTGTGATGTGTTAGTACATTACTCGAATTATACTCTCACTATACTGATTTTTGTACAGAAAATATAAACATTACACTTAAATGACATAAACGCAAAATAAATTTGATCAGTTTTTGATTATTATAAATTAAAATATTAAGCGAAACGATTCGCGTTAGAAATAATTTATATTTAATTCGAGTTTGAGAAGATGAATATTAACAATATTAACAAATTTGGTCAACAATTAAATGATATTATTTTAATATTTATAATTTACTGTAAATCGATAAGAAGTTATTAAGATATTGACATCACATAAACAAACATTCACTAAATTGAATGTCATTATGGATTTATCGTAACCGATTTCTTTTTGAGTTATTATTTGAATTCGGGTAATTTAAATATAATTAAAAAATTACTTAATAACCAACGATAATGGTCAAATTTAATTCAGGGAGCGCCTTTTTCGTGATTTTTTCTTTTTGGACAGTTGGTGTTTTTTTAAAACACTAAGCCTCTTTTCTGGGGCAATTACGCTAAAGTAAATGTCATAATGATACATTTAATCGATTTCTTGATATCTGATATAACATCATTTAGACGTAAAAAATAAATCAGGAAATTTGGAGCCTGATCGAAAAATAATTTTTTTCGTTAAAATTTAGTTTTCAGATGTTTATTTATTTGAATATTGAATTTGTGGCGACAAAATTTAATTATTAAGATAACGAATTGCTTCCCGAAAAGACTTTAAACCTCGTGAAATGAAGACAAAAATCAGATTAGCTCTTTTTTGAGTTGGCGTTTTATTTTTGAGATATTGACATCATTTTAAAACAAATAAAATATTATGCTAAACCAAATTTATATTTGACAGATTTCATGAGCATCATACAGACGCCAGATGTAAATCATTTTTTATATATATATAGAGTTATTCCTCAACTTTTTTTAAACAAAAATTTACCGTTTTCGAGCAAATTATTTTAAAAACCATTCAAAAAAAAAAAATGACTGATCAAAGTCCATACCCAGAAGAAGAGGGAATCGTTAAGGACGAATTTTATGTCCAAAATGAAGAACACGGAGGAGATGAATATGATCCTCGGCAAGACATGGAAGAAGAAGAAACAGAAGACAATGTTGATGTTGTGGAAGAGGGTTTGTTTATAATGTTAATATTGTTAAATGAATAAACGTCTTTTATGATCATTTTTTTAATCCAACAAAAAAATAGATCCCGCTGATTTAGATCAAAATGCAACAATTGAACCAAAAAGATTTCGTGATTCTACCTATAATATCGCACAAAAGAAAGGCTTTTATTATGAGAATGAGACAGATGTAACAGGAGGCGAAGTTTCTGAGCAAAGTGTTAGAGACAAAGATGCTTCAAGACAATTGTAATAAAACACTCCATCTTCTATCATTATTTGGATTTTTTTTTTAATTGTAAATTTTTTGTCATAGGTCATCGCTTGTTGCTGCATCTCACCGAAAGAATAGAGCTCCGGAACAAAAACGTCAAAGTGCTTTAAAGGCTTCAGAATTGCATGAAAAAGTGACCGGACATCCTTTGAAAATAAATGAAGGTATTTATACATATTATACATCCCTTACATTTTCTGTATTTTTTAATAATATTTAAATTTTCCTTTTTGCCACAATTTATAGAGGGAGAAGTTCAATAGATGAGGATTAAGTGATAAATAAAATTTCGATCTATGAACTGCGTTAGTTTTTTGTTATTCGTTTGTAGTGATCTTGTTGTTAACAGAAGGGGGTAAAATATTTTTATGATTAAAAAATTTCCGAGAGATTTTTATATATTAAATAAACATTTTTTTTTTATTAAATAATAAATCAATTATTTTTATTATTTGTCTTTTAAAAAAAGTATAAAGTACAAAAGGTATCGATTGTTTTTATATGTATAAAATCTAAACTTTTATTAATGATCACGTGCAATATTACATCTGTATAATAATAAATTTGATGTAGGTAAAATTGTGTATATGTATGCAAAGTGATTATTTAACGGTGTTTTAATATAAATGTTTGTAAGTAATATGACTAGGACCATTTTTTGGTTTTCTTCCTAAGTTTCAACAGAATTAAAACCTGTCACGTCTATATCTATATTTGGTTTAAAATATAATGAGAATGAAAACATATAAGTATTATAAAAAAGAAAAATTGTGATATCTTAATTTTTTTCATAAGAAAAATGGAATGGCTTTTTGTTTTTCGTTTTTTTCGTTATACCACTAAAACGTACTTTCTTTCGCATTTGTGATTGACGGTCATAAGTTTTACTTGTGTGCCGTCTTGGATATTATTCCATGGCGTTGGATTATTTTTTCTAATGATGAGAATGATAAGATTAAATTTTCATCAGAATGAAAGGATGTTTTTAAATAAATAAATATTTAAAGTAACTTACTTATCCCAAACGACTTCGGGTCCCCGAGCAAGGCGGGTAAGATACCAGCCGGCACCAACAACGGCTACACCCTATTATGTCATAATAAATTAGAATATAGACATATAACTTAAACTCTTAAAGTACTTTCAAATAATACATACGGTTACAGCGTAGATTGGGAGGACTTCAATTCGGTACCAATTTCTCATAAATGTTGACCTTGCGACTGCGGCAGACATTTTGATTTGATGTATTGATGTATTTAATTTGAAAAGTGAGAGAGAAAATTTTTTTTCTGTGGCAAAGGATGATAATATAATATAATAATAATATCCTGTACGATTATTATAAAATTGTTTATGTGAAAAAAAATTTTTTTCTTGAACGTGAAAAGGAGGAGACGGTTTATATATTTTACAAAGCCGGGAAGTTCCGCCGTGAACGGCAATAAACGGGCGTAAAAAAATACGTGTATAATATGTTTATACATATTTAATGAATTCATAATAAAATAATAATGCAGCCATGCAGGAGCATCTATGGTAAATAAAATCTTGACAGATTTTTTCCTGAGTCAAATTTTCTAAATGAGGTTAATATTTGATTATTTTGGGTTATAAATACAATCGGGTTTTTTTTTGTAATAAAAGTAACCTTATTCTAACTGATTGGCAATAAAAAAAAGAAAGAAAATGAATAAATAAATAAATACGAATCATATGGGATCTTTGATTCGGGTATTCCACATTGTATACTTTCAAAGTATCACAGCTGAATTACTTTGTTACGGAAGAATGCGGAACCAAAGAAATTCTGCTAACGTAATGTGCGACCACACACTATGATGCAATTTCTCCTTCTCACATAAAAATAGTTAAATAATATTCGGAGTCACTTGTTCGAGTGTCAGTATCAAATTAATTATGAAAAGTAATTTTTTTAATAAATTTTTAATTTATTAGTTTTTTTTTGTCAAGTAAATAGTGGATAGTCATAAAAGATTTAATCAACTGACGCAAAAAAAAAAAAGATGTCTAATTTCGGTCATCTCCACCAAAGAATCTATTTTGAGTACGTAAGCCTTTTTTTTTTTTTTTAGAAATTTTTAATTTATGTTATGATTGCGTAATTACTAAAATGGCTAGTCAATTTACTTATTGCGCCTCTTAGATCTTTTAATCCGATTTGGAATTAAGCCATGCGGCGTCGGCAAGATTATTCGCCCGATAATCAACTAACTCATGACTTTAGTTCTTTATTATTATCACGTGAAGACGAATTATTGCGAATTGCGATTTCGAGCATATTAAATGAATTCATATTATTCTGGCGTGAAAAATTGGATGTACAATGAATGTCTAAATTTTTATCGTTTCCTTGATGTAATTATCGCCGTTTTCAAAATGGTGTACGCAGTTTATTTGTGATTGTATATTCGAATACCAATATTCGCCCGGGTTTCATCCGTTTTTTGTCCATATTTCGTCGGTTTTCGTCCGGTTTTCGGGTTTCTTTTTTTTTTATTCAAATTTAACTGCGTACATCATTTTGAAAACGGCGACAAATTTGAAATCTACCCTCTTTCGGTAATCTGAGAATTCGAAATTAAAAAAATATATATCACTTAAATAGTTTCTAAACCAACGACTTACCCACAAAGAAAAAAAAAACATTCTATTATTAGAATTTAGAAGATTAAATTTTAAGTTATTTAATATTTCAATACATCATTTTGAAAACGGCGATAAATTTGAAATCTACCCAATCTGAGAATTCGAAATTAAAAAAATATATATCGCTTAAATAGTCTCTAAACCTACGACTTACCCACAAAGAAAAAAAAAAATTCTATTATTAGAATTTAGAAGATTAAATTTTAAGTTATTAATATTTCGACATTACACATCCCTCTTTCCTGACCCAAAACCCGCTTTTTAATATAATAGGGGCGATTACGGCGAACCATAACCACCCCAACAAACAAAAATTATCCAGTTGAGACACTCATTAAGAGCGTTCAAAGCAACAGTTACCAACGCTGTGCAATGTCAGCGACCATCACTTACACGTCCGCCTTCATGTTCACGGTCGTGTCCTGGCAGGTAAGTATGATTTGCAAAAGTGCGATTATCGGTCTATTTATGCTCAAATCGCAAATTATGGGATCGATGAAAATGGCGCAGTAAATTTTCGAAATGACTTTTCAATGATCATCATGATCATCAGTAACATCACCATAAAAATTTACACGTTCAATTTTTTTATGAGGGTGGTTTTTTCGTGAGAAAAAACATACATATTAGCCTATTTTAGTATTTTCCCGAAGTGCTTAGTAGAAGGCCACTTTTTAACGATATCTCATTTTAAAATTTCACGAACTATAATATGCAAAACGCGGCGACAATTATTGTTATTATAATTGCAGTTATAACTGCATTATCTTATAATTGGATAGATGAATCTATAACTATTTCTGGATTTAGAAGACCAGATATTAAACCTTACGAAGGAGGAAAATGTAGAGTAATTGAAGGTCATTATATATCTGATTTATCTTTTGAAAAGTAATTGAAAAATTTGAATAATTCTTATTTCTTACGATTGAATTTATTAGGAATTGAAACTTGTGAAGATATAGTTATTCATCATCGAACTGGTCACGCTTTTATGGCCTGTGGTGATAAAACGATTAGAAGTCAAGTATTTTATCCACCAATTAACCTTATTACAGATACGACTCAACTAATAAGAGATACTCCTTACATTTATGACATTAATGTATGTATATTATCAATTATAATCTTTCTTTTTTTTTTATCGTGACAAAAATTATATTTAAAGTGTTTTTTTATTAGAATGATAAACTTATTCCACTTGAATTAAAAAATTTTCCACCGGAAGAAGATTTTTTGTTATGTGGAATGGGAATATACGAGGATGAAAAAAATGAACCAAATAAATTATATGTATTTTTTACAAATCACAAAAAAACTGGTAGTGTTATTGAAATCTTTGAACATATCCTGAACACAAATGAATTAGTTCATTTAAGTACCGTTAAAAATGATTTAATTATTACTCCAAATGATGTCGTACCCGTTTCAAAGGATGAATTTTATGTTACTAATGATCATGGTCATGAAACCGGATTTTGGAGAGAATTTGGTGGTATATAAAATTACATGCATATGTATGTATATATATTATGTCTGCATTTTTTTACGCGTATTATTTAATTTATTTAGATATTACTCGTCGTCCATGGGGAAATGTTGTATTTCATTCTTCAATTACGAATACAACTGAGATTGTTGCAGATAGTATAAGATATCCTAATGGAATAACTTCAAATTGGGATAATTCTAAAATATATGTTGGAACTTCTGCTGGTGGAGAACTTTTAATTTATGATCGTAAATCAAATAATAAACTTCATCTATCGGAAAGTTTATTTACCGGACTATCAATTGATAACATAAGTGTTGATGAACAAACTGGTGAAATTTATTGTGCTGGTATGTATATATTAAAAATATAACGAGTTGTATATTTATTTATTTGTTTATTTATTTTTGATAGCAACACAAAAACCTTTGGCTGCATTGGTTTATATGAGAGATCGCACTGGAACAGCTCCTCCACAACCAGCTGCTATCATAAAAGTAAGTAACAATACAGCCGAAGATAAATTCTACGGAATAAAATATTCTCAAAAGATAATTTTTGAGGATAATGGAAGCATCTTACCTTCCGTATCAATTGCTACTGCAGATAGGCAAAGGAATGTAATGCTTTTGGGTACTTTTCGTGGAGATGGTATAGCTAGGTGTGAACTAGAGTCGCTTATCGAAATTAATTGATTTCAGCATGTCGAACTGTAGAAATTAATTCATACATTTCGGTATTGGCTTTTTTTATTTTCGGCAAGCATCTTTAGTGAACTGATCTTTAAATTTAGTGAACATAACTATACGGATATTATTGCAGATATTTATTTTGTATAAAACGACAAAAAAAAATATTTCTATTCTAAAAATAAAAATTATATAACTTGGTTTTTTTTTGCTATACTAAAACGTCTATTCGATATACAAATAAAAAGAAAGAAAAGTGATACAATTAAATTGATTTCATAAGTAAATATTCTTCAATCTTCCATTTCTTCATCATCCTCTTCAATTTCACCAGGTTTTGATCCAGGAATATGACCTGATTGTAATAACTTTTCAAGACGCGTAACTTCTTCCAAAGTTTTAGCATTACGAATTGCATCCTAAATAATAAATAATAAAAAATCGGTTTAATAAAATTGTAAATCAGAAAAAAAATAGAAATATAAATGAGAATATTTACTTTAATTTTGGATTGTTCCTCTATTGACATTCCAAGCGTGGGTAAGTTTGATTTAGGAAGATTAACTCCTTTACTTGAAACAAATCCCTCACCCGGCTCGAATGTTTTGGAAGCAACTTCAGAGATAGATTTTGCAAGTGAAGTCATTTCACCTTTTAATGTTTCGAACAATTGTTTAGCTTCTTTGCGTTCCTATTTAAAAATAGGTATAAAAAATATAATAAGTATATGTAAAATATAAAAAAAATAAATAAATTATATATATATACATATATATATGACAAATAATTTTCCAAACAATTAAATTAATTCACACTTACCACATCACGAACTCTCTTAAAATCCAAGACTCTAACAGATTTAACTTTCCAAATAATCCAACTTCTATACCATTGTTTTCTTGTAACAGGATTATCTAATAAACTAATATATTGTAATCTATAACATCCTGATAAAGGTTCAAGATCTGATAATTCTGATACGTTATTATTAGTTAAAACTAATGTTGTTAAATTAGGAAGGAATTCGAATATTTGTGGATCAATACGAGTAATACGATTATTTGCTAATAATAGAGTCTTAACACGACGTAACAACGGAAAATTTCCAAGAACACGAATGTCATTATCTGTTAAATCGATCGTGTCATTTTGATCCTATAAAAATTAAAATATGATTTATTTTTAAATTATTTATAAAATAGATAAAAATTATTTTTTAAAATACCTTAGATACACCAAGATTTTCTATAGCAGGGATTTTGTTTCCTAATTAAATTTAAAGAGAAGGGATAAAGGATTTCGAGTCAGGGAACAATATGGAAATTCGTTTTTTAAAATCTAATAAAACAAAACAAGGGCAATGTCACTTATAGTTGATCATTGCCCAATGATTTGATGTTCTTTATTGATTTAAAGTTGAAGGAATAATATACAGAAGTTACGTTATCATTCAGTTCCCTAAACTATAATTATTTCGAACCCTAAGCAATTATAACAAATTACTATATATAAAATAAAACTAAATTTAAGAACACCAACGTAATTTACCAATACTCTTCTTTTTTCACTTATTAGAACCATATTTTACCCTTATAAAGATAACCAGTGTTGTCCTAAAAAACACCTTCTAAAGGATACCTCGTAGATCAAGTTCTCGATCTTTAACAGCATTGATATAACTAAGTGAACGTTCGATAAGTTCCGGTGTAAGTTTCATTGCTTTCCCATGTAAGTTTTTTTTAATTTGAATTTGGGACCAATTTTGTTCTAGTTTATTGGTTTTATCATATGATCATTTTATAATCAGCCAATCATGTTTCATTTAGGTTGTTATCCTAATTTCCCATTCGTTAAGATTTCAGATTCTCGCCCGCATATAAAATTTCTTCTGTATTACCGTCATTTCCTATAAATAGAGAAATTTTAATCGTCTCTTTAAAGAACTATCTAAAGAGGAGAAATAATCATTCACATTAGTAATGTTAATCTAACAAATTAAGTATAGTAAGGGAAGCTCTGACTCTCTTTGATACAGATGGAGAGGCTTGAAAACTTTGATGGTGTTCCCACACAAAAAGCAGCTACGAACTTTATATTGTATATCCTTTATTTTAGCTAAATTCGTTAGTCGGGATGGAAATAGTGTCGATATTTACCCTGGACAGATTCAATACTTTTTTGAACATTTGATTCATTTATCTTCCTAGAATTTAGTTCATACGTTCGCGTTTGTTAGATGGTAAAGGGAGAAAGAGGCGGAAAGATGTCAAAGAATGGGGAAAAATTCTATGATGATTTTATCGACGATTTTTGGAAGAAGCCAGGTAACATACATAATTTTTTTTTTTATATAGAATTACTTAATACTGAATTCGTTTTTATTTTTTAGGGAGTACGTTAGCAATGCATATAAAGCCGCTCAGAAATATGCCAAAGATTACGAATTAATGAGGAAACACTACGTAGATCAAATTGCAGCGCTCTCGCCGATATATATATGATGATTACAAAGAACTCATCGAGAAAAGCACCTAGTTTAAGATCGACAAAAAGGCATTAAAAACTTCTCAGATAGCAGAATATGTAAAAAAGGATTAATCAAAAAAGAGGAGTCCCTCTATGGTTAATTAAAACTACATGATTTATGGACAAATTAGCAGACGTGAGGAAGAACCAAGTTGTTCTAAATTAAAAGATCAAGATGATAAATTGAGGAATGAATCCGAATATGAATTATTATGTAGTTTATTATTTTTGATCAAAAGAGGATAAAAGATATAAAAACAATCATAAACAAACAGTAGATATTACAAAAGAATTTCTCATAAAAAATAACCAGAAATTTATTGATGAAAGAGTTTATTATTTTTGATCAAAAGAGGATAAATATATAAGAAAACAAACAGTAGATATTACAATAGAATTTCTCATAATCGCTTCTACAGATAGGAGATACCCAGGAATTGGACCATCGTATTTCTTGTTTCGTTTCAGATTTATTCCTAGTTCCCAAGAAGGGCGGAAAGCTTCGTTCCGTTATAGATTTACGTAATACGTTCAATATATAAACAATAATCAGGAATTTATTGATGAACCAACCCATTATGACAAAAGGATATGGTCGAACAGGACAAGAATATTCGATACGTCATTTATAAAGTCTCCGCAGCTATTAGACCTATTGATAATACTCTTCGTATGGTATACGCGTCAAAACCGGGTTCTACAGAAGGAGAGGTCTACAAGACATGGCTAACTCGTTAGTTGCATAGAATGGTCCGAAAATATTATTAACTTTCCCGAAGAATAAATAACAATGTGAGCTCAACATTTATTAACAGTTTAATTTTTCAGCATTTTACTTTTTACCTATTTAATTTTGGTGATTTTAAAGAATGCGCATTCTGAAATTCATGAAATATCTTCAATTAAGAGGAGAAACAAATTTAGGAGAAAAGGTGGATCTTTTAGTTCCAGACGAAGATGGCGAGAACATGAATATAGAAGAAAACAAAGAGGATGAGAAAGAAGAAGATAAGTTAATCTGGAAAAGAGCATGGATTTCCTTCTATTCATCATCGTCGCGATTTAAAAGTGAGCAGATCTTTACTAAGATGGAAGCCTTTACTATCTGACATTTGATCTGAATATATATATATATATATATATGATTTTGCACTACAATCCTGCCTACCCAAGTAACCAAGTGACCAACCAGAGTTATATCGACAATATGTTGAAGATTACAATATGCTAAACCCGAAAAAAAATCAGATGTTCATGCTAGGAAAGTGTCAGCCAAATTCAAGGGTTTTTCAGTAATAATTGGTTACGGGACTTTTAAACTAAGACGTTTGAGGTAATTTACAAACGAAATAAAAAAAAAAGAGAAAAAATTACCAGGATTCCAAATTGGATAGGTATATGCTGAAAATTTAGTAAAGGGCCAGAGAAAAGCACTTGGACACCGTATTGATGGAATTTTTCAAAACACAGTCAATAATAATGAATATGAAGGAATTGAAGTCGCGAAAACATGCCAAGGTCCTCATGATAGAAACTCCTGAAAGATATATTTCAAGTGAGAAGAGATCAAAAATTACAGGAAAATCTCAATTGTTATATATGAGACTAAGAAAAATTTTTTTTTTTTCCAGTATCGGGAGGGTACTCACTGAAAAATGCTTAATAATGCAATTAAAAAAAACGGAAAATGGTTAAGAGAAGAAAAAGGAAATTTGAGAACCACATTCATCCGAACATCCTGATCGATGATTTGGCAATATTAATTATATTGACTCATTCTGGGAATTGATTTACCTCGAAGAATCCTACAGAAAGATGACTAAAATTTATATAAGCTGTGTTAAGAGTGATCATTAGTTAGTTGGATTAATTTTAGTTAATTGTCAATAATATGGGAAATTCTCAAAAGAATTGCTGAAAATGGAAAGGCAATAGCTCAAAATAATGTAGGAAAATGTTTGTTAGTTCATTATTAATCATTGGATGTGATGGATTACCTAACCGAATAACAAAAGAGGGAATGCAGGCATCCTTTGGGAAACTGTGCAGAATCAGAGGCGATGCGTGGGGATTTTCAACCACTCATCAAATCCATAGAACGTATCAAACCTGTCATCCTATACACGCGTACACTCGTAATACTAACTTATCTAAGCACTTGTAAAATATGGATATTCATTTTACTGGAGGTTTATGATCATTACAAATGAAGGACAGCCATCTGGTAGAGTGTTTCACAAATTATAAAAAATAACAAAAAATAATGCATTGATTTAGGTCTTTACCGAAATAATTATAAAAAACAAGGAAGGATTGATAGCGACGATAGACGTTTACATGCAAATGGACGAATGAATGATGTACAGTAACCAGAGGGGATATAATTATTAGATTTAAAAAAAAAAAGAATTTTTCAAATGATATTAAGAAGTTGTCACACAGATACTTGTTTCATTCACTTGCTCGGTAAATCTACTTATTTAATCATTTGAGAGAATATTAAACATTCATTCATTTGAAGATATCAGTAATTACGTTGATGGTAATTTTTTACTTGAACTTAGTGTGAACATTCTGGCTTGATTGTAAATTTAGATTATAAATTCAGATCAGGAAACTGCTCAAGGACAGGGAACATCGCAATACCAAGGTGTAGTGAGATAGCACATTTGAGTGATTTTTATCAATTTTAACTCTGTATACGAATGGGATATTATAATAAAAACTGTATATTATATTATTATTATTATTTGTAATAAAAATAATTAAGTAACAATTTTTATTTTATTTTTTTTTTTAAAAAAAATTTTCTCATTCACAAGTTTATACAAGTGCAACTATTATTATAAAAAATTATACTTTTTTTTTTTNTAAATTTAGAAAAGCCAAAAGGCTTTTAAAGGTCACAAAAAGAAAAAAAAAAAAAATTGTCAAAAAAAAAAATATTTTAAAAAGCCTTAAAAATGCTCATTCACATAATTAAGCCTGTCTCTTATACACATCTAGATGTGTATAAGAGACAGATATAGAATAGGTCCAAAAAAAAGATAAAATAGTTAGATCCGGAATTAATTTAATATAATAAAAAAAAAAAAAGTATACTGTATATTCATATAATTAATGATATAATAAATTCAAAGTACTTTATATATAATCTATTAACGTGTAAAAAAAAAGGAAGAGGGTAAAAAAAGGGAAAGGAGAAGAAATAAATAAAAATAAATAATATACTCATTTCTTTTACAGTATATGTCAAATATATTATTATTAACATATGGAATATATGAATATATGATACCTCTACCATCCTTTACCCTCTTACTATAAACCCTTATATCTTCTTTGATTAATTTTTTTTTTTTTTTTTTTAGAAAAAACTTCAACATAGAATCCCAATTTTAATCAATAGACCATCTTTGTGTGTGTCGATTTACAGTTTCAAGGTTGTATGCGCGATTATTTTCAATAAAAGCATCTCGTCCTTCTCGTCCGCCCACTTGTGATGAAAGACTTTTGCTTCGTGAAACTAACATAAAACATAAACAGATTAATTCCTTATCAACGGAAAAAAAGGTAACTTATTTGGAGTTGCAAGATTAATAAATACACTTACGATGAAATTTCAATCCCTTATCGAAATTTTTTAAACAAAGGAGGGATATTACAAAAGTTACCTATAAAGTAATCAAAATCAATAATAAATTAATATTAAAAAAAAAATAATAATCATTTTTAAGAAATATTTAATTAAATTAAAAATCGACACTTACTATTCCTAGGACTAAACAAACAGAAACTATTTCAAAATAATAAAATAAAAAATTCATCAATAAAAAAAAAAATTTCAAAAATTTTAATTTTTAAATTTTTAATAAATTCAAATAAAATATTTAATACTTACGGAAAAATGTAACGAAAATCCTAGTTCCATGATATTTATCAGGATTCATTGACACATCAACTATTTTCGATATAATATAACCTTCTGCAACACAAACTCCTAACTTGAAAAGATACATAAGAACCTTTCTCTCCGTTTGTACTCCCCAGAACCCAACTATAATCATTCCAGCCGATGTTAATACTGATAATATTACATGCTGTAATATTTCTTTTGTTGCCTCCAGAATAACCACCAAAGCCAAAAATTGTATCGAGAATCCAAGGAAGAAGAAGACATCGAATTTTAATAGCATTATGAAAACTGTTTCATGAAAAATAAATAAATAAATTAATCTGTAAGTATCATTGTTTTTTTTTTCAAAATATTAAATAATAACAATATAGTAGTAATAAAACCTACTTTGATACATTTTATATCGATCTGTATATACATAATAAAAAAATTTAATTATTATTTAACAAATAAAGTATAAATAAAACGGTATAATATAAATATTTAATTTAAGATACCTCTCATTGCCATATCAGCTCCAATCTTCTTATATATTGTCCAACCAAATTCTTGATATAATTTATAAGCCAAGTATGCAAAACTCATTGAAGAAATTAACATTACTATGATGATGACAATTTCATAAGGAACTGCATCTTTAGGGAGAGTATCATTTCCTTTAATAATAAGTTCCTGGATGGAAGGTGATATTCCGTTGTCAGAGATTAAAGAAGTTGATTGATAAACTAAATATTTATTTAATTTATTAGTAAAAGAATTCATTTACTCGTGTTGAATTGTTGTTTCACCCTCAATAATAATAATAATAATAATAATAATAATAATTTTTTTAGATGACATTATTATTCACCTTGAATTGCAGAAAAAGCCAAACCAGCAAATATAAATAAACTTAATGCAATAAGTTGAATAGTATTTTGATGATAAAGCTGTTATTAAAAAAAAAAAATTTTAAATTAGTAAAATATCAAAAAATTAATTTATCAAAAAAATATATATCAAAAATTTTTAATATTCACCGCATCAATACATAATCCTAATTGAAAAAATTGACTGACAATAAACAAAACATGATATATTGTCATACTTCTTCCTTGAGCATATATATCAGTAAAATCACTTAATAAAGTTGCATCATTCTTCACTTTATCTTCAAATAAAGATATTTGACTAACAGCCTTTGAATGTACTGCAAGAACCAACCCTTCCAGTATTGATACAGCCAATGCTTGACACACCGAAACTATCAATGCATATCGGGCATAATAAGATTGGCCAAACTATAGTAAGAAAGGTAAAAAAAAAAAAAAAAAATTTAATTTATTTAATTTCATATAATTTTTTTTTTTTAATTTTCTTCTTTTAGTTACTATTAATAAATTTATTTCTTTCAATAATTTAAGCCATTTATTATTGTATAAATTTAGAAAAGCCAAAAGGCTTTTAAAGGTCACAAAAAGAAAAAAAAAAAAAATTGTCAAAAAAAAAAATATTTTAAAAAGCCTTAAAAATGCTCATTCACATAATTAAGCCTCTAAAAAAAATAAAATGTGGCTTAAACATACCAGTTTTTCGGCCAGCGATCCAAACATGTTTGGAATTTTAAGTCAAAAAATATGTATTTATTGACGTAAAATATAAACGTTAGAAACGTAAGCTATGTAAAGGAAAAAGGAATGAAAGCGCCAAGAGCTGAGTGAGAGCTCTACGTGCGATGAAAAAAGATGGGGTAAGGCTGGCTGTTTACCAAAATACTATCGGGCAAGATTTTCGGTGAACGGACCCTAACAACTAAGGGAAAGTATGGTTCATGAAGGGTAAAAGATGATCGTAATGCATAGTGCGTAACGCACACTTTTTCTATATAAATTACCACGAAAACACAATGAGGATCAACTAAAAGTCTTCCAATTTTGACTCGGAAATCCCGGAAATCTTTATATCAAATATGTCGGGAATCAATTAATTACCGGAATTGAAAATTTTCAATAGGATTGACAAAATAAATTAATAAGAAATTATTTTATGCAAATTATGCAAATCAAACTTTAAAAAATATTTTTTATGCAAGATGGTGCATATTTAAAAATATTTTAAAAAAGAAATAATATTTGTTTTTTTATAATTAGTAAATTCGTATCATACTATCATACTATCATACTATCATACTGTACTTATTTGTACATGACATATAATGGCCCTAAAACTATACCCCACTAATCCATTGGCGGTAACAAACATAACATCCAAAAATAATCTGAAACTCGTGAAAATTGTTTTTTGTATTTATTATAACAAATTCTTTTAGAATCTGGTACCAGGCCAAATTCAAATATATAAAGAAAATTATTTAATATGAAAAATATTACTAAATCCATACTCATTTTTTCTTTTTAAAATAAACCATAATTAATAAAAAAAATTATAATAATAAAATTACATTAGTACTAATTAAACATAAAAAAATATATATATATATAAGACCAATAAACGATACAAAATAATTTCATCCGATTATGTTACAAAAAAAAAAAAAAAATCGTTTTAATCGCACTAAACCCAAAAAAATTATATTTATAAAAAGAAAGCCCATAATACCCATTAATACAATAAAAAAGTTTTTTTTAATTTTTAGTTGATAAAATAAACCCAACCCAATAATATATAATAAAAAAAGCCCAATATATAAGAAAAAAACTATACACGATAATTAAAAAAAATTTTCTGGAAATAAAATATATACAAAGTTTTTGTGTCCCTCATTTCAAAAAAAAGGGAACTTGATGTAATAAAAGATCAAACAATGTCTGAGAGAATAAAAGTGTCCTTTCATTTAGTTGTGTTACTATTAATTGTCCGAATTTTGAGTGGTTTTATTGACTTATCTTCGTACTCTACTTGTACTTGCAGATCTTTGAATTCGAGGTTCTAATTCCAAAGACCTATTATATAATTCCTATAATTAAAAGATTCATTCATGATCGGTTATTATACGTATAATAGCTTTTGAGTGTGAAATGAAAAATGAATGTACTTACATCATCGTTCAATACCACCGTTTCAGAAATAAATTTTTCAATAAGTTTATTGTTCTTAACATTACATGATCTATAACAAATTTACAAAGATTAATTAATATATTTACAATTATGATTTAATAATAATAACGGTGTTAAAATAATACATACTTCTTTTGAAAATTTCGTATCATGTTTACTATATCTCCCATAAGAGAGAATTTATTCCAATGAACTTTGCCATTTTCCTGAAAGTCTTTGTTACCTTCTCCAATGGACAATAAATCTTGTAAATGAATACCACTATATTGATTTTAAAAATTAAATGATTAGTAAAACAATTTAGAATTTAGAAATGGAATAACTATTAATCATAAAAAGATACATACAGATAAGGTATCCCAAATTGTTCATCATAGCCACGTGATGGAGCCTTCAAGGCCAATCGATAGTTACCAAAAGACTTGTCCGTTGACATCAAAACTTCCAAATTATGAAATTTTTTGTATGTCGATTTTCCCTTTATAAGTTCACGTGTGCGACGAAGTCTCGCAATTGGGGCAGAATTTATTGCAGCAATAATTGCCATTAAAGTATTGTAATTATTTAATTCCCTGACAATCTAATAAGAAATAAAATGATAAATTTTTGAGAAATAATTTCTAATGTATAATATAGTACACTATTTATGAGAACCATTATACTTACTACTGCTACTTTCATGAACTTTTTCAACATAGCTGCGCGATTTTTCAATTTGTCCTGGGATAAAATCATCGTAGAAACCCTATTAAATAATTTTAATAAAGTTATTAATACATTTCATTAAAGTAATTCGATCAAGTATTTCATTACTTACCAGTTAGAAATAAGATTAAAATGTTTAATAGATTGAGCAACCCTCCCATTTTCACGTTGAGGACTTCCTTGTGGAGACCAAATGTGCCTTAACATGTCCCTTGGCACAATTTTTTTGAAAAGGTGAAATTCCTGATACGTTAATTCATTCGCAATCGACTTTTCGGGTAATTCTTCGAATGGTACTTGACATATAGGTCTTCCAGTTGACTCATTATTTACAATTATTATGGAAGCTTTACGATGATTTGTAAGACTTGGTCGAGCAAGTCGTGAAAGAGATAAAGCATCATTTTTGTCATCACATAAGATCCAGCTACCAATACCACTATCTTTTTTTGTACCAATAGTAGCCATTTTCGGTTTTTCTATATGTTGTTCTTTAGTAATCTCATCATCATCAACATCGGTTAATCCCCAAAAGGAATCAGGGTCTTCTTCAGGAACTGTGCCATAAACTAATGACTTTAGAGTAATAGCGTAGTACGTAAGATGTGATCTGCTTGATATTACGTCAAAGAAATTTCGTAACATGTGTCGAGTATGAGGGTGAATCATATCGTTAGGATGTTGAGTTAACCAATTATACAACAAGTTACATATCCTAAAAAAAAAAAAAATTATTTTTTTTTTAATCATTAATTAAATAAAATATTAAAATAAAAGAACATAATTAATTGAATAAACTTACTTCTCATGTGTTGTGTTTCGATTATCTTTAAAATCCTTTACATCCTTTTCACATTCATGAAATCTTTGTACTAATTTGACCAAAACTTCTCTAGGTCTCATGAAAGCTCGATAAACGACAAAGAATGTTATCGTAAATGGATCATCATGTGTACCATATTGACCTCCAATGGTTAATCGATGAATCAATTCATCGATTGTCATACCATCCGTACGATTTCTATGAATCAAGTCAAAAAAATTTTAATAAATCATTCCAATATAAAAAATTTTCATATAAAAGGATTCGTTTTACAAAACATTTCAATTGAAACAAAGTTTTTCAAATGTACACCATTATTGATGTAACTAATACATACCCAGTACATTTAACTTGACCCCTTTCAATAGAATCTAGAGCATCTAAAGAATTATCACTTCTTCCACTCATTGAACTTAGAACAGAATCATAACTTGCAGTTGAAATTCTACTATTTGCGGATCTTGTAGAGAAACTTTCTTCTTCAGTTTCTTTCACCTGTAATAAATTCGTTGAAGGTAAAATTGAACGTCTCTTTTCGGTATTATAGAGTTTAGGAGATGATGGAGCCGAAGGAAGCGACATTTGAGATAAGATTGAAGGTGTTGGTGGTGTTTGAGGTGGTGTTGTTGCTATATATTAATGAAGATTGTTTTTAAAAATTCGAAATATGATATAAAAATGAGGAAAAGAACGTGAAAGAAAAGTAATTGAAGATTTACCTTCTTCATCACTGCTTAACATATTTAATGGATATCGTGATACTAAAAAAAAGTGAATTTATATTATTTATAAAGTATAATGTAATAAAATATGATTATTATTAACTTACATTTTCGTGAATCGATTTTTGGAGTACCAAAATGGGAACTATATCGACTGCTCATAAATCGTACAGCTGGTAAATTTGAGAACCTTCTTCGACCTCTTGGTTCATAACTTAAATCACTTGATGTTCTTCTGTGACTTAAAGATACTTTATCCGATTCAGCATCACTACTAACATTTTGTAAAAATATAGAATCCGACGATGATTCAGCTGTCCTATTTACTTTATTTTTTCGAGAGAAATCTAAACAAAAAAGATGAAAATAAATAAAACTTTTTCTATTCATGGGCAGAACATTGGCAGAAATGTTTTAAGGAATCATATTTTAAAAATATTATTGCATATTTACCTCTATGCCGTATTGCTAATCTTAATAACATTGAAAATACATCATGTATTTTCTCAATTCCAGCATCAGAACGTGTGTCCAATTCAACAAACCCAATACGAAATAAATCACCAAGTTTCGGACCAAATGATGCATCAACTTTACGTTTTGATAATTCACAATCTACTTTACAAGCAGCCAGTATTGTTGGAATTTGAAATTCTTTGAAAGCACCTATATAAAAAGAATACATTATAAAATGATTAATAAATCATAAAAATTATACGACACGAATATATATAACATACTTAGAAGCCATGCTATATTTGCTATTGATTCACGTGAAGTGACGTCATAACAAACTAGAATTCCATCGATTTCAGGGAGCTCCTAATTATAAAATTATTTAGCCAATTAAAATTTTATGTGATTTAATGTGATTGATGGATATTTCATTGTGAAATCAAACTTACTTTTGGCCATTGCAATGGAGATTTCATGTCAAAAACATTCTCTTGAATTTCCAGCACTTCAACTGGATACGCCTGATCATCGACCTCAATTTCTGATATAAACGTTGGCGCTAAATAGAAAAGAGAAGAAAATAATAAATAAACAATAATTTTATCATAATAATAAAATAATTTAATATTTTATTATCATAATAATAAATACTTTACCTTTTATTATATTATGATCTACGCCAATATTTTTTATTGGTGTCAAATTATTCATACCCGTTCGCACAATTGTTGATTTACCAACAGTTGGCTTACCGATCAAAGCAATCACGTAATTATCATCCTGTGAACTTGTTGTTGACTGATCACTTAGGGATAATTTCTTTAAGAAAAGAAATTAGAAATAGATTCATTAAAATTAATTTCAATTCATATATTAAAAGAACAAATATAGCTAAATAAATGTATCATACCTTATCATTTATAAACCAATTACCATAACTAAATACATTTCCATCCATGCTACCATTTCTCTTTTTTACGTTTATAGGTGTTGATTTCAAAGAATCCATGGAAACGGCTTTCTTTAAAGGTTTACTGCTCTCTGTCTTATCATTGGATTCAACGTTTTTTGGTACGATATTTGTTGTTGAAAATGATGTTTGATTTCGAATTAAATGCCACATTTTGTTGATAAATCTTGTTTAAAATCAGTTGATAAAATTCTTTTTTTTTTCGTGGCCGTGTGGGTTTGGATTTGATCACCAATATAATGTTAACACGTAACCCTTTTTTTTTGGTTTTTTTTTTAAAAAAAAAAAACTAAATATACAAGTTTTGATTAAGGGGGGAAAAAAAATTATTTTCAAGATAAATGCGTTTGATAATTAAAAAATAATAATAATAATAATAATTCAAAAGTTTTTTTCTTTATTTGTCGTTCTCGTAAAAAAAAAGGACAACTTTACCAACTTTAGAAATTTTTTTTTATAAACTTCCAAAATATTTTAATTATATGCATAAATAAGGTAAATGGCATAAGATTTCAGAAATTAAGAATGATATCATTCACAAAAACTTTCTCCAACCCCCGAAAAATTCTCTTAACAGCTAGCGTTTTTTTTTTCAATAGATATTATTACCCACCTTCTTTTTAAAGCTTCTTTTATTAGTTATTGACGATCAATGAATATTCTTTTATCGATAGAGGTATTTATTATATGAAACATCTGAAATATGATCACCTTTCTTTAAAAAAAAAAAATATAAAAAAAAAAAAAAAAAAAA